CTAGAAATGCTGGTGCCCCAGTTGATGCCAGTTCTGCATCACTTACACCTGGCGGCAATAACAGAAGGTAAACATTTTAATGTCCCACAATACCTCTCTTATGGTGTTGCTCCTAGGTCTTGTGGGAAATAAAAATGCTGCTAGAGAAGTTTGAAGAAACAATCAACAAATCTTGGCATCACCTATCCTGTAATAGGGATGAACAAATCAGTTTCCCTTTATACATATTTATTAATACATTTCTCATGCACACATTTTCTATGCAACTTTGAATATACAGATTTTTGCATGCATTTCCCCCTAATAGATAGAGTTTGTGTAGCTTTTATCAGCTGAGAACTCCATTGCAAAATCCAGAAAAGTTAGTTTTGAAAAACAGATGGGTTTCACTTCATGTATTGGTTTGGAAATGCAAAATTAGGTAAGCTCATATTATAGTGTGCGTTGAATGAATTTCTAGCCCATTGGTATCCTGGAAACACCAAAATTTCATGAGATTACCAAAGCTCATGAAATTTCTCCAAGTAGTATAAATTACTAAATTTCCCCTTATCATCACACAATACACCTGTGGAGAGGCCTAGGCAGCTGTCACAAGTAGAAAGCTGCCTGCATTTAAGATAAGATCCCTTCAGGGATAATATGCTAAAACAGAAAGTCCTGTGCTAGTAACTATGAGAAACAGGCCCCAGGTGGGAGTAATAGGACCCATTCATTCATCTTACAATAGTTTATATAACTAAAACTGGCAATACAGGACAAGTCATGCTGTGTCTGGAAACTAAGAAGGAATTTCTAGCTGAAAGTTTACTGGACAAGGCTTTTAAAGTGTGTGGGAGATGTGCATGCAAAGATGAGTCAGTGCTCCAGTGAAAAGCTTGTATCCCATTACTAGATGGCCTGGCTTAAGTTACTAGGTAACTAGCTGGTCTAGGAAACTGTGATCAGTAGTTCAAAAAATTTGGAAAGCCAGAGTCAGAAACAGAGAATGTTGCCATTAGGTCCTGCCTTGTCTGATCATCATGGTCTAGGCTGATGAGACACATTTTCAGAGGCATCATGCCCAAACCTCCTTCCACATTTTTTAAAAAAAATTCAGGTTACTGCAGTTCAAATCATGAGAGAGTTTGTATTTTGCCATGTACAGTTGAAGACAGCTGTAGTCTTTTAAGAGGACTTGAGAGGATTCAGTACTGCCATGGCTGCCCTGAAACACACAAGCGATTTTTTTCCCATTGCAGCTGAGAACCTGGGAAAAACAGTTCCAAAGGTTTTTGTGGCAGAATAAAAACTAAAACCCATTTTTTCTTTAAAAAGGGGGAAGGGCAGGCACTGATTCCATCATGGTGAGCTGAGTGCCTATTGCCTAGCTGTGGAGAAATTCGGCAACTGTTTAAAAACATTTTTAGACCTTGTGCAAGGTGAAAAGAAAACATGTGTGTATGCAGACATGTGTTGCTTAAAAAAATATAATCCTGCAACTCTACAACCTCAACTCTACAGAAACCACCCACAATGTAAAGATCAAACAATTCCCCACTCCAGTAGGCAGTAAACACTGTTAGCATTCTCACTCACCTGCATCACATTGGCTGCTTTTCCCAGTTTTAAGGATGAATTGATACTGTAAGAACCAACACACCTTGGATGGATATTGTTCTGACAAAGCATCCCAGGGTTAAATATCACCTCTCTCTAATTTTACTCCTGCTGCTGTATTTGGTCAACTCATCTATTTGAACAAGTTCTCCTTTGCTATAGAAAACTCTCCTAAGCAGGAGCCACCACTGCTGCAGCCTCCTCCTCCTCCAAAACCCATTCTATCTTCAGATTGTCCTTTCCAAAGAGACCATTAATTTCCCTTTTATCTCAAGAACTGTCTGAGTGCACATTTACATCTTAACGAAGCACAGTTGAAGAAACCTAGTCATCTACTTATACAGGAACAACCATGAATGGTCGAGTACCATGGGGCAAGTTTCAGTAGACAAAGGCAGCAGAGAAATTGTTGGACAGTACCTGGGCACAGAGAACCTTGGGCAGCACTAGGTAGTCACCTTGCAAGTGATGGGGTTTTTGCCTCTATCTCTATTTGTATCTTGCTAACATTTTAGAAGGAACAGTTGGCGTGGCGTGGCGTGACTTCTATGCCAATAGAAAACCTGCGGGAATTTAGCATGTGACACATCCAGGTGCAACACACAGAAGTTTTCCGAAGATACTGAGCACTGTTTGCTGGCTGAATCAACCACACTATGTCAGCTTAGAGCAAAAAAAATGCAGAAAAATCCAACCTTTGCCTTGAACAAGAAGCAGTTAAACACTGTCAGTATTCTTTTGTAGACCTCACCTGCTCTGTACAACACCCAAAATGATCTGGTCAAGACAGTTTGAACATGATGAGGTTTCCTTTTCCCCACACAGTTGTATAAGAAAAACAGTTCTGAGTTAGAATAACTCATATTCAGATATATCATGCAGTAAGATATAAAAAATAAATATATTCCTTTGAGGATGCTCCAATGCAGAATGCTGATAGGAAAATTCATGATTAAACATGCCAGAGCAAAATCAAATAAAACTCTGGCTGAAGAAGGGGAACCCTAGTGTTTTTCTTGATGTGCTAGTTTTCTAATTTCAGAGCAGCTTTACATGGGAACCACTCTACCAGATGATTTTTCCATTTGTATTTTAAAGATGTACAATCCTGAAAGCCTTATACAATAGAATCCTTTTGGATGTTTAGATTGGTTTTAAGAGGATATTTGCGATTTCCAGATGTGTTACAGGATCTACTGTCATCCAAAGTGTTTTTCTTTGGACATACATTAAATGTCAAGTGCCAGCTTTTCACAAACTTGCATAGCTGGGTTTTTCACTAAATCCAAGAGCAGTATAATTACTGTCCAAATTCAGTCTTGCTTTCTTGTCATCATAATAACCAGTTGTCCCAGTTTATCAGCACAATAAACCCTTTTAATTCCTGGTGGCATAAACAGGAGTTTGTAGAGGCATTGTGGTTATGAAATATTTCTTGGCTAGCTTTGGGGTTATAGCCTGAAAAAGCCTGCTTTGAGGTACTGGATTCCTGCTATTTCAAATGCCTGAGAAGGAAGGTGTGTTTCCTGGCAGTCCCGCACAGAGGCTGTTTCTATCTAGGGTAAGTTATATAAAACAAAGATATGGTGAGCATTAAATGTTCTATGCAGAGCCAGTGCCTGGGTGGTAATTTGACAAACTGCCAAGTTTCACCTGCCTTTAACATTCTTTCTGTAGGGAAAACCTTTTGAGGAAAAAGGCACTGTACTGTGATGTCCAGAGCTGGCTTTAGGGGAGAGGGGGAACCATCATGCATGCTTAGTCACATTTCATTATGCTTGTTGTAATTGTTGTGTTTATTTATTATGTTTAATTATGTTGTAAGCCATCCTGAGACATTTGTTATGGACGGGGTAAAAATACTGTAAATAAATAAAATAAAATAAGCATTTGCTAGAAAGCTTGCTTAGGGCAACTTATAACTGAAAGGTTAACGCCCATTAAAATACTGTCTCTCCCCGCACGCTACAACAAATCCGACTCACTTTCCCTGCTTCCAAGCCCTCCCACTCATTTTGCAGTATGTCCCTGGGGAGGATCTCCCACATGCATCATCTTATAGTTATTTTGGGTTACGGGCATTTCAAAATCCTCCAACCTATTCTCAGTCTTCTAACTTTGCTCTAAGGGAGCTATCTTCCTTGAACTCTTAGGAGCATGGCTGCTGTTTTTGACTTCCTGCTTGTTCCTACATACCAGTTTACTCTATATCATCTGCTAATGTATCAAGAAAGCAAATATTTCAATAAATGCCATTCCAGGATGCCTTTATATGTATCCCCTCCATCTACTGCATTCCTTAAAACAAAAGAGTTGGCCCATACCCAGCTCCCAGGGTTGCTTGTTATTCATTTGGCAACACAAAAGTCAGTGCAGGAACACAGATTTCCAATCACACTTCAAAGGGGATAAAGTGTACAGCTTGAAGAATGTATACTATACCACTGAGGACATATCTCCATTCATTATGTTGCAATACCTGCATTTTCTAGGAATGGGTCTATGATCAGAACCTCTCTCTGCCCAGTTCATGTAATCTGCATGCTCAAATTCCAAGGGAGAGAATTTTATACATTCAGGGAAACTTGCTATCACATCCTGTTATTAATATGAAAGCAAAGAAAAGCCAGAAGAAAATTTGCAAAGGTTGAAGATATGGGGAATGTTTTGTCCTGTCTCTTTGACAGTCTGTGCTTGCCAAACCAGTTATCCTTATACTTTATGAAGCGATTGCATTGTTACATGCACAATGCTTTCCCATAGGTGTGAATGACAGGCAGACACTATTAATTTTCCAGCTGGGAACCCTGTCATAGTCATGGTTTCAAAATACATGTGTGCTGCTGTATAAGGACATGTGTCTGGCAAATTTTATATTGTTGCAATGAGAAATACCAGTAATTCTTCAGAAGGCCTGGGTTCAAATACCTACTCTCCCTGATGTGAAAAACAGAGGAAAAATGCTGAGTTGATACATGCTATTTTGTTTCATAAGAAAGCTAAGGAATTCCTACTTTAGCTAAAATAAGCAGAGATCAAACTACAAGTTAATGGTACAATTTGCAATACTGCTGGAGCCAGAGAGCTTCCATTTGTTGTGGAAGTGAGCACAGGTAGACCGAAGGACCTATCCTTCTAAAAGGAGCGGGCACACATACAGAACTGTTGATCACTAGCAGCAATTATTGGTCTACTGTGATTTGAAGGATGTGAACTCATTTGGAAAAGAAAGTTACCCATAAGTCATCTAACAGTAACTCTGCATTGGAAGGCTTACCAACCTGCTTCTCAGACAGCTTCAAGTCCCATGGGCTCTTGGCCTATTCTTCCGACAGGTTCTTCATACTTGCACTGAATAATCCAGCAGGAAATGCTATTCTTTTTGAACATTACAACATGAATTTGGTGGTGTTCACTATATTTTTTATTGCTCTTTCTTCTTTTAGTGTTAAAAAGCCTGGATATCAGTTATTGCCTCTGTCCAAATGCAACATTGCTGGGCATTCAAAGGATTAAATACAATAAAACTTCCAAATAATCCAAAGCAAGACAATCTTTCAAACATAAAAATACTAACAGTTAAGAGTTGTCTTCCACCACACACAATGAATTCATAAATTGCCATTACCAGTATTTAATACTGCAAACCCAGGTGGTAAATTTGTGAGGACAGTTCTTCAAGAAACCAGTCTAAGGTTTTAAAAATCTAAGAATGTACTTTCCTTTTCTCAAAAATTGAGCTTAGATTGTGTCCAATGTTAGTTCTACTTAGAGCAGACCCACTGAAATGAACAAGAATTAAGTTAGTGACAGACAAACTTAAAAGCCATTCATTTCAATGGGTTTGTTCAAAGTAGACTTACTATTGGACACAACTCATTATCTGACAACACAGCATACAAGTAAACAAAATGATTAAAATGATAGGTAGGGACCTTCTACATTAAAACAAATACCAGTTTTGTAGCAGATGAATTGCTGTAATTTCCTTTTAAAAATCCAGGAATTGTAATGTGGTAGGAATGCTGAAAACTCTGTATTAGAGGTTCCTTGCCCTGTGCTTCCTAGAAATGCAGTCTGAGGATTTATTGGGGGAAAGAATTACCACTGAATGGATTTACATTTGTAATGCAGATATGTCCAGAAAGTGCAGCCCATACTCTGTTGGAGTCAACTATAAATTTCCCATAGGTTTTACCATTTCTGGATCTTATGTTTAATCTAGACAAAAGATTATTGTCAACAACTCTCAATAGGAAAAATCCTTTCATAATTAGTTTACAAATTGCAGTTATGACTGGCTTAAGTGAAAACTTATAAAAGTTCAAGCCAGCAAACAAATCTGTGTTACCAGGTGATCCCTTTGTATAGTAAATGGTGAGTTCCGCATTGTTGACTACTACAGTACTTACAGCTGTATCTGAAGTGCTTTTAATGGTTCTAAAAGTACATTACTTAAGAGGAAGATCTCTTAAATATATCACCTTACCCCAAAAGATGCTTCATTTAGAGAACCAGCACTCCAAGTTCAACTATCAGTCAGATATTTTATAAAGAATGCTTTTAACAGTGCAATCCTATACCCAGTTATCAGGCAATGGGCCTTACTTTTGAGTAACACATGTATTGGATTGTGCTTTCATACAAACAATCTTTCCAATATACTTTCCTAATTTTAGAAGGTAAAGTTTGAGGAATATGAGTTCATCAAGATTGTGTTTGTTGTCCAATTACCCACTGAAATTAAAACTGACAATCATTAGATTTCCACTTGGAAACCAATGGCTTACAACACACAAGGATTAAAGAATAAATAGATACTTTATGGCATTATCCACTCTAAGGATATAAGAGTTTCAGATTTAGGTAATGCACATGGGGGACAGGAGTATTACCTTGTTCTATTTTATTAAGAACATGGAACCATGCTAGAATGTTGCCTGTTAAAAATGCCCCCCTCCAAAGAATAATTAAAACACCACATTTGTAATGGCAGAGAAGTAATCCCAAAGTTATATGGTTATATTGGCTCCCTGGGGTTCACTAGGTTGATGTTTTCAGGTGACACTAAGGTTTTAAAAATTCCGTGTAAGCAAGCAGAACCCACTCCAGCTTCAGGCAAAGAACAACTTTGAAAAACCATCACAAACATACAAAGTACAAACACTGATGAATACACTGTAACCCCTTAAAAGAAGTCCAGGCACTCCTAGTGCTGTAATTCTCCAACACCTTTGTAGCACACAGTGTTTACAGCGGAGTTTTCTAAATGCTCAATCTGTAAGCGATATGAAGCCCTTAGGTAGAGAAGCATATACTGCACTGGCAAACTAGAAAGGTTTACCATGGAGTGGAAATGTGTCAGTCAAAAGCAAAATGAAGGCAGGATAAATGTTCTTGCTTGTGCGACTGTGTATGTGTGTCATTCCAAAGAATTTAAGATATGAATAAGCAAGGGTTCCTTCCATTAGTAACATGCTTCTCTCTTGTGCAATTACTTGGTTTCACTCAGCTGAAGTTAACTGAAGTTAAGGCATGGACAATGTGAAGGATGAAATGAAAAAATCTAATGGCGACTTCAGAAAATAGTTCTTCCCTTTTTGGATGTGGTGTATCCCACCTCAAGTAGGTCTGCAGCTGTCAATTAGCAGCATCCATATGCTCTTGTCTGCTAAGCTGGGGTTTTCCACTGGGGCTTGCTGAAGATGCCTGCAACTCCTTTACTGTCTCCAGCAAAGCTTTTCTCTCCAGCTCCAGTGTGAGAATCGTCTGCTTCAGCTTGCTTTCGTGGTTAAGCAAAGTTTCAACCATGACCTGTAGGTTTTGGATCTTTCCATTTGCCACCTGGAAGAACAAACATGAAAACATGACTGGAGTATTTGTGATAAAGGAAGAAGACAGAATGCTCTCTCAGCAAGTTTTCATCCACCGTGTGAAACCACACAGGCAGCTGGAATATACATGTAGAACAGGAAGATACAATAGAAAGAGTACAACTCTAGAATCCTCCATTTTGTGGTTCTATTTTTCCATACTCTTAAATGCACTGATGAAATGAAATTGGTGGGCCAAAAGTGCTTGCTGCACTCCCATACTTAATTTCCCAGTGCTATTTTTAAGTTCTGTAAGTTAGAAGTAACTGGGATAAATTCTGGGACACATGTGATTGACTGGGGCTCCTGGCCACAGGAAGGATTGACCTGTGGGATACGTTTTCCCTCAAACACCATCTGGATAGTCTGATGGATAGTTTGCCACTTAATAATAAATTCAAATTTGTCTGTAATATATTTTTCCATCCTCTTTTAAATCTTGATTATTTAAGCTTTAGAATGACATCAAGGCTGTAAGAACAGAAAAACTGCAAAAATAAATCTATGCCAGATTGATTAATGCTAGTTTAAATTTATTAACTAAAGCATTTTAATTATGCATAGTGTTTTTAATCCAGAACTACATTCAGTATGAATCTCGTTAGTATACTGTGCTAAGGAAACATGAATCATGACTCAGACCCCACCCCCACAAAAAAAAATGTTGTCTGCCAAGGACTGAGAAATTGGCATTTTTCCTTTTCAGCTTTAGCAAGCTTTGACTATGCAGCATTAAATTGAATAGTCTGTGTAATTTCCATCATTTTAGTAATCAGTTTTGATCTCCAAGGCAAAAAAATCCAAAACTAGGGAGAAAAAAATCTCACATACTACTTTTGTTTTTATACCTTTGTAAGCAGTGGGTGCACTATATTGATACTATAACCTCAGCTTTTCCTAACCCGGCACCCTCCAGATGCTTGGGACTACAGCCCCCATCATCTTTGACTATTGATGGGAATTGTGGTCCAAACCATCTGGAAGACATCAGACTGGGGAAGGCTAGTATAATGTTTAACACTACAACAACTTCTCAATATGGAAGGCTTTATTTTTATTTATGTATTTAAGTTCACAGACCAGGAAAATAATAAACAGATAAAATATTGCCAAACATTGGAGGACTGAAGAACCACCCACTGATGAATTGATTTTAAAAAAAGATTCTGGACTGTGCTGAAATGGACAGGCTGACTTTGTCTCTGAAGGAGAAAGAGGATACAAACTTCTATCAAACTTGGAACTCTTTTTATTATTGGCTAGAGAAACGGGACTATGCATAGATTTGAATATGTCTACGGACTGCTATAAAAAAAGGGGGGGGGGCTGACCCAGTAGGTCTGATGTATCTGATGAATGATGTTTTTTAGTTTCTTTTTTTTAGTTTGTAGAAAATAATAATAAAAATTACTTAAAAAAAGATAAAATAGTGGTAGAAAATTAAAACACTGTTAAAACAAGTAAAATTTACACAATATTTTCACTCAACAGATGACCACATTTTCCCTAATCTGCACTGCAATCATAAAAAATTGACAACATTTCCAGTCACATAAAAGGTTACATCCCTTAAACAAACAGATACCAGAGTGGAAGAATTATTCGCATAAAGATTTGTTATTAGTGGTTTAATCAGGTTCTCTCTGCATTCCCTATTGAAGTTGCAATATAGCAGAATATGTTCCACTGTTTCTACTGCTCCAGCACCCCAAGAACATACTCATTCATTGACTGGGGTCCTGTTAAAGTGTCCTTTATAAAACTACTAAGTTGACTAAGTTTCTCCCTTCAGTTCACTGTGCTTCTGATTAGCAACTGCCCACCATACCCACAGTCTATGCATCAGAACGTGCTGAAGGTCCACCAAATATATTTTTAAGACTTTTATCTTTAAAGTCATGATTTCTCTGGTTAATACAGATTCCAGAGTGCACATTTGGTTTTTTTTTTTCAAATATAAAAAATAGTAATGATAAATCCATCTGTAAATAAATGAGTAAAGTTAGTAGCCATCTCCTTGAAAATTGTGTTTAATGTACATTCCATAATGTACAGTCTGTACCTGCAGCTCCTCAAGGAGATCGAAGTTTTGCTTGCGTAAACTACTGTTGGCTTTTTCTAATTTATCCATCCTCTGATTGTCATTGAGTGAAGAATCTATCAATTCATCCTGAAGTACATGGTATTCAACTTCATAGGCTTGGAGCTGTTTGGAGATATCCATCTCAAAAACCTGATACATGTAAAATGGAAGAGAGTCCTGTATCAAAGACAAGCCATGTGTTCCTCCCCACAGCGAGACCACAGAAATGCTGCTCTTGCAAGTGGTTAGAATATACTGGTCATCCACTTACGCAATGAGTTGCATATATTAGCAAGCTGAACATATATAGTTCATAATGTCAAGTTCACCAGGTACTGTAACTAGGATATAGACTGGTACAAGATAAAGATCTTAGGGGAAAAGAGTTAAGAAAGGAATTGGAAAAAGGGTAATTGACAGAAGAGTATGACAGGTAAAAACTGGAGTGCCAGATACAAAGAAAATTATTTTCATATCTGGGAATCTGAGTGGGAAAGAAGAAAAGTCTCAAGAGGTTTGATGGCTGTGGGATAAAATATGTAGTAGATTGAGAAGTAGGGCCTGGAGGAAGATGGATGGAGGTAGAAGTGCGAGAGACAAGACGGATAGTGGAGCTTTGAAGGCAGTGATGGGAAGGGGGGTAACTTTCATATATTTATTTGAATTAAATAAGCCAGATAGCTAACTGGTTACAGGTCCTGTGTTACAAGTTCCTATATTTCTTTCTCTCTTGTTAGAGTTCCTGCGATTTAGCTGCTCTTTTTTAAAATGTCTTGATAGCCATTTCACTATAAAGCAGAACAGACTGCATTGGGTCCCATTTCTTTATGGAGATATGCCCTTTCTTGTTCCATGAAGTACTACATTATATTCCTTAGACATTACTAGAACACTCAGAATACATGTTGGTTGCTGTACACAGAATGTATTACTATTATTCAGCATTCAAAGAATTTCCATGGTTTAAAAAAACCTCAGGAAAATACAGTAGGAGATCTAGCTGGAATATCACTCAGGCACTATGTTAAAACTATTTTGAATATCTAAAAAATATTCTGATTCTGCATAGGAAACATAATCCCTAAAGTCCTTAAATGAGTTACTGAAAATAGGATCCGTTAGAAAGACAAGTACAAATAAATTGTTCGTAATGTTGCAGTGTACATCTTCCTTGGCAATATTCAGCTTCATACCTGGTTAATAGTCTTTTCCATCTGTACCAAGCCCAGGTTTGGAAGAATGCTTTTAATGAAATCAACTATAGTTTCCAGGTTTTCATGTTGCAAAATCAATGGCTTATGGCTTCCCAGTAGACTTAAAGCTACTTTAAATATAACTTCTGACCCCTGAAGAAAAAGTATGTCTGAAAATCAGAGGGGAAAATAAGAAGAGAAAAGGTTAAGGAAGAATACATTATGTATTATATTACTTTCTACAGGAGTTACCTGAAGCTATTTGTTAACTTGGCATTTTATTTATTTAAGAACATTTATATACCTTTTATAGTAAAAACTCTCAGAACAATGTACAATCAGTCTAGACATTTAATACAAGCATAATGTATAAATAACACATAATATTAATAACACTTGCACAATAATCATAAAAATTCAAATATAATCAACAACAATTAAACAGGTAAATAACATACATAATACATAATACAATATAACAACTATTCATGTTGGCCACAGAGCATCTCATTAAGTCACTGTTCTCTTCTCCCTGCTGCACTTGGGCCAGGGAGACATCAGTCCTAACCTGCCCCCACCTGACTGTGTGACTCCGGCCAGCTACATTCCCTCTAAAAAACAACCTGTTTCACAGGCTTGCTGTGAAGACAAGATGGTATAATCTCTGTGGAGAAAAGGATTAATGAAAATGTAATAAATAATACATCACTATGGTTTGGTCCTGTGCCTTGTAGCGGAATCCTACCTTCTGTTTCTTTCTAAGACTATATATAAGTCTAAAGACAACTTCATAAGTAGATCAAACTCTTGACTGATGCCTTGTAGTTATGGATTTTAGATTTGTGGTAGTGTGAGTAGATTTGCTAGTCCACTATGTTACACTGGGTGTTCACAGTTGTCCTGAATTTAGTCAATCCATACTCCATACTTTATGGGAGCCTAATCTTTCAAATCATGCATTCTATTATGAATGCTAAGGCCATCGTCAGAGAAAAGTGACCAGTGCTGTTCGGAAATGGTTTCTGAGTAAATGGTCTCTAGATCAAAATTGTAAGAATCTTTCCTTTACCAGAAAAGAAGCATTCATTATTCTTGACACCAATAAACTGCATTAGCTATGTTTCTAAATATTTAATATTGGTGAATAAATATGACACATGGAATCTCAAGCAAGAATGATTAATGAATTGGAACACCCCATATTGCCCAACCAATGGAATGTTTCTTCATCTTCATCATCACTACTACACTGCATCTATATCCTGCCTTTCTTTCTTTTGCAAGGAACCCAAGGCAGCTTACATAGTCCTCCTACACTCCATTTTCTCCTCATTCTTCTCTGAGTTAGGTTGGGACGAAAGTGAGTGATTGGCCCAAAATCACCAAGTGAGCTTCTTGGCTACATGGGAATTTGATTGCAGATCTCCCAGGCCTCTGGTCCAACACCCTGATTGCTATGCCACACTAGCTCTCTTTTCACAAGAGACTATGGATCTCTCAGGGGAGATAAAGTTGACAGTCTAGCCAATGAAAACCAAAAGTTGTGTATATACAAGGCTCTGTGAAATGATGGAGACCAACACAGGGTGTTGTTTATAATATTTGGTGCAACCTCTACCACTTGCTTCTATAAAACATCAGGCCTTAACAGTTTTGCTCGCATCTCTCATCACAGCAGTTGGTTAGCCAGGCTTTGGAAGTGAGACAAGACTTAAGGATTCTTCCAGGAGTGGAGCTACAGAAGGGGACGATCATCCCAGACTGCTCCTCAGCTCCAAATATGGGTGGAAGCCAGCTATTTGTTTTAGCTCTGCACTGGGTGAATAAAAGCAGAAAGATGAAACAAACTTCTGCCTCTCTTCTCTGGCTCTGAGTTAGAGGAGATGGTACAGATAAATTGGCTTGTCAATCTACCTGTCAGGAGCATGAAGTCTAACTGCCTGGCAAGAGCAAAGCAATGGAAACATGCACATCTCCACTAACCCTCATTAGTTTTCAGAAGGAATGGGATATTTCTTGGCTGGAAGATTGGTGCTCCTACCACTTGGGCAGGTACAGAAGCAGTGAAAGCTGCCTCTCTTTGGTTCTATGGAAGAGGAGGCATGGAGAGTTTTCAGCGGCTCAGGGCAATGACATGTCCCGGCAACAACAAATTTTTGGTTGGCTTCTGAGGCCTGGCCCACCCAGTGTTTGCCAATCCACATAAAACACACTGAACATTTAAACAAAAGGCCAATTGTTTTAAGAACATATCTAGTCCAAAAGCTTGTTACAAATGGGCAAAATGCCAGCAAGTATACAGTACAGACGTCCAAATGGATGTCAGCATGATTCAAAAACCAAATTATCTACAATCTTGGAACAGAGTGAACATTGTTTTTCTACATTTCTTTTACTACTAAGCAAATAAGAGGACTTTTTAATAGGACCATTATAAGGCTATCTGTGCAGGGGTGCTGAAAGTTCACAAGGTCAGAAAGAAAAAACAGAAAAGGAGTTTTGCAGGGCTACTGTACAATATAGTTCTCTAGGCCTCATAGCCAATTTTTAACTCATGATTTAGTTACCTGGAAGTAACACAGCAGCTAAGAGACAAGAAAAGACTCACTTGTGTCTCAGTTTTATAGCTGGAATCCTCTCCCACCCTCCACTGCCCTCCTTATCTGTAGGATACAATTTATATTGTCATGATATTCTTTGTTGCTCTTGTCTGCATGTTTCTGTTGCCTTTCAGATTGATTGTTTTTGTTTCAATTGTTTCTACTGTATTTCCCCAAAAATAAGACTGGCTCTTATATTAATATTTGCTCCAAAAGACACACTAGGGCTTATTTTCAGCTGGTCTTATTTTTTAATGTACAACAATCTACATTTATTCATTTATTTATGAACAAAAATCTGTATTTATTCAAATACAGTCATGCCATCATCTTCTGAAACATCACCATAACTCTCCAAACCCCGAATTGTGTTGCAATGGATGTATTAAATGTGTGTGTCTGGCTGACGATCTTAACTGGGGCTTAGTTTTGGGGTAGGGCTTATATTATGAGCATCCTGAAAAATCATGCTAAGGCTTATTTTCCGGTCAGGTCTTATTTTCGTGGAAACAGGGTAAGTGTTTTTTATGAGCTACTTTGAAGGTTCTACCGCTGAACAAAGAGGGAAGATATGAATATTTAAATAAATACAGAATTACCAGTACATACCTATCTTATCAGCATCTTGTAAGGATAAGTGAAATAATGTAAATGTCAAGTGTTGCTGCTGTTGTAACTGCTGTTATTGCTATTATTGATGTTATTATTGGTAAACAGTTAATTATTAACTATTAATTAAAAATTGATTATTTTATTATTCACTAGTCTCTGTTGATGCAATGAGTTTCAGAGGTGGAGGATAAAAAGTTATTACACTGGTTGGTTTCTTGTATTAGCCTGGATAACAACACACCTTTCCCCATAGGAAACCTTTTATTTGGTAAAAGCATCAAATTGTCTTGTGATACTTAAAGGCTGGCAAATATATGGTGGCAATGGCTCTTACGGGCTACAGCCATAACAAATTTACCTTTACAATTAATCATTCAGCCATAAGAGAAAGTTCTCCTCATGCAAAATAATATGAGCAACTGTGCAAAATCTATTAGAAAGCACTGACTGCTCCCAGTGTAGCAAGCAAAATGTGTGTTTTCTTACATTTTCTTCCTAAGCGCTGCTGTTCTTTGCTTCACAGTGCTCCTAAGCTTTTGTTTTGTTACATATGAACAGTGACTTTTTTAAAAAGTTGTTTCTAACTTTGTTTCTACGCAAGAAGCAAGCAAAACAGAAAAAATGCATGATAATTAAAACATCCCTACATTCAGAAACATATAGAGAAGGAAATATTCATATAACACATGTTTTAGCTTATTTGCATTCAAGCAAGGCATTGGTAAGTAATGCCAAAGTCCATTTTATTATGCATGACTATGAAGAGGAATGTTGGATTATAATCTCAATTTGTTGTATTTAGAATGTTAACTTGATTTTATATTAAGGCATGGGGATTGATCAAGAAATCAAGTGAGAGAGTAATTAGGGCTTCTATATGTAGTGCTGTTAAATTGGAATACTTTTCCAAAATCACAGGAGATTTAACAAAATCCACAATGTTTTTGTCAAATCTTGAAGGAACCTTACATAAAAGATGACTGTGCCACATATGTTAATGAATTTCCAATTTGTTAGAATTTAACCACGGTCATTCTGGACCCTTTCAAAAATTAGCAGATCATCCTAAGGAAAAAATAATGCATTTTGAGAATCGTACAGACAAATCATATTCATGAGTCACAATGGAGTATCTCTTTATTTTGACTAAAGTATTTTAAGTAATGTATCCACAGGGACCCTCTGTGGTTTTATTTCTCAGACACAACTCACAGAAGGCTTTCAATGAAAGCCGAATACAAAGAAAGCAGCAGTACAGTATTTTATCAGATAGAAGTAAACCGTTTGATCAGGTGGCATATAAGTATCTGCATTTGTACTTTGTCTGTCTCCATCTTCTCATCTCTGTGACTTTACGAAGACAGCATCTATCATTCTATTAGCTGATTTTCTTACACTCAAAAAAGCTCATAAAAATCTTAAATTTCAAATAAATATATTCTTAATGGCAAATGACAAGTTGGCTTGTAATGAATATGATTATGATAAATATGATGTAACAAATATAACAAATATGATTCCAAGATACCTTAACCATAATGGAGACTTACCAAACACTCTAGCCACAAAACCCAAGGGAAACTGAGAGGCAAACATTGTAAGAAACCAGGGAGCAGCATACAGACTTGGACTAATTTCATGTGCTTCAAAGTGATCATAGAGATCTCTGTGGTAATCATGAAGGAGTCGAGAAAGTTGATACATCTGGATCTGCAGAAGCAAGTACAAAGTAGAGGAAAACACCACTGAAACATGAAGGTAAAATTACATACCTGGTTTTAAAACTGTGAATCTTAAACTGCTGCAAGCTACTGGTTGTCTGCAGGGCACTTGTAGGTACTCAGCAAGACAAACAGCACCAATGATGACAAAGCTCAGCTGAACTAACCTTGTCTACTATATTCTAGTTCAGCTGTACTAAATCACAGTACATGACATGAGAAGGGGAGTGTGAACTAGTGGGAGCTGTTACTTTTTATTTATTACATTTCTGTACTGCCCAATAGTCAATGCTCTCTCTGAGTAGATCACACAATAACAAAATATGCTGCTCCACAAAGAATGCACAAATGAGAACAAGGTACAGAGTACAACAAAGTTTAATAATTGTCAAGGTATATCATTCATCATAGCCTGAGTCCTCAACGAAGACATACTTAGCTAGATTGAAGTCCTGAGGCATTCAGTAACACTTCCTGGAAAGCATACTTAGGATTACAGTTAGAATTATAATAAGCATTATCTACAAATTGGCATGCGTAAACTAAACAAAAAAGAAGAGAAAACAAGTGGTTTTATATCAAGCTACTTACAATTAGTCCAAATGGAAAAGATCCCTTTTGTTTATATTTGCAAAAATATTGTCATGCAATGATCTCCACAATGTTACCAAAATAGTCTTTCTGGAGGAAATGTCACCTACCCTGTATGAATAACAGATCCGGGCAGCTTACTGATCTATCACTATGGTTATCTTGTTCTACATTCTTATGATGCCCCGTTTATACCCTTGCTTTCAACCTTCTGAATACACGTGCAATCAAAATTTACAAATGTCCTCCTTTTTATGATCACATGGAGGGAAGAAATGTAATATAAACTTGCTCTGTCAATGATAGAGAAGCAGGCATTCTAACCTGTAAGATGGTCATGTCAGGTCGATACTGCTTCCTTAGGCCCATGTCAAACATGAGAAACCTGAGCATCTTGAAAGCCTCTTCTTCACTCATATGAAGCAGCAGGACACCTGCTACAAAGCTTAGGCCCTGGCAATAGCCTACTTCTGGATCCAGGAGGGAATAGGCCTTCAGGATATTGTAGAGTGACAGCTGCCCAGCTCCAAGCTGGGCTGAGAAATATGGATGTGTTGGAAAGGTGCGCCCTACAAAAATAAGAGTGAGTTTAGTAATCTGTACATTAATTAAAACAAATATGCTGTGTTGTCATGTGAAATAATCATTTCCAAGATTCCAAGTCTTATCTAAGAAACGAGGCAGCCAAATTCATTTGCTATTATTTAATCAATTACTTTGACCTAATATAGCCATTGCTTTCTGCTCATCATCATAAATACAGTAAATCTTATTTAGTCAAATTGGGATGCTGGATTGGTTTGAATACTGTGCTAGTATCCCCATCAGGGCATATGGATTTTGGAAGCAACACCAGGAAAAACTGAAGCAAGCATGTTGGGCTACTAGTGTCCACTTCAAGGGCAATTACTAACAAGGGAGTTGCTAGTCTTCTCTCCAATTCTTAGACTGGGTCCTTGCCTTTTTCCTTACCTTGGCTGCGTTTTGACAGATCTTCAGTTTTCAGTAATCCAAACTCCATAGTACAGAGTTCCAAACCCTGTAGTACAGAGTTCTGGGGATTCAGCAGAGGCGAAACTGGAGAAAAACAACTCCAGACAGACAATTTGGATTTTATCACAGCATGCTGTGCTTTGTAATTATTGTCTCAGCAGGAATACAGCTGCTCATAGATCCACTTTTGAGGTCAGACTATGAAGTTCCTCTGCAGGTGTCTTTTATGAGCAAAAGGCAGGTATGAAAATAGCTGAAGTTATGACATCATAGCATTTAGATGAAGTGAAAGTGGTTGTTGTTTCTTCCAGAACTTTTGAGTTATTATTATTGCTATTTATTAAATTTCTATCCTGCCCATTAGCCAAGATGGCACTCTGCATGCCAACAGGCACCGTTCTTAACTCCTACCAAGCAATGACTCCATACCCTGGTTTCCTTATAATCTACCTATTTTGAAACAAACTGGAAAACTCTTGTTAAGTTAATAAAATGAAGAGTTGCTTATTCAGTTTGCTTTAAAAAATTCTATGTACAAATAATTCCACACTAAAATAATACAGCTACTATAGACATTTCAGAAACAAAGATACAGGAGTGTTTATCATTCTGGAAGCAGTATGAGAGAAGGTCAGTTCAAACATCATTGTAAATCATGCTGCAAACAAGTCATGGTGGACTGATTATTGCTTGTTAACCCATGCCGCTGCCATGGCTTGCTTCCTCCTCCATGCTCCCAGGTACATATCCCAGGGCCTTTGCAGCACAAATCCTCTACACTGCTGCTGTAAGAAAATCCATCCCCTTTCCTTTTCTTGCCTTGCGATGCACCTGATGGTAAGCCAGCACAGCTTACTTTACATTAGGACAAGATGACTGAGATTTTTAAATGTTTTCTTTATGAGCTCTTTTAAAAATCCTCCATGTAGCCCATTCCTCTTCTTAGAACACCTGCCTATATGTACAATTGACTTACCTTTTGGTAATCATGCACACATGCATAGCTGTGTTAGCTTGCCTCACAAGGGGATAGAACTAGCTGCTGTCTAAGGAAGCGCCAAGCTGGAGGAAGGAGGGGCACAGGGATACCCCTCCAGGGGTTTTGTGTCATGTGAAGCAGGTCACAGAGAGAAAACACCGAAATGTACCCTTAGAGAGGCTTGTTCCTGTTTCCTTTCCAAGGCAGCTAAACTACCTGCTATAGCTTTTCACTTGTTAAATCTCATCCATCCTTTAATTTCTGAATCATTGCATTCAGGGGAGGTGGTTGTCTCACCAGATATTATCAGACCTCTTTTTTTTCTTTTAAGAAGAATAAAGCCTGAAGCAAAGTCTTTCTGCACATAGATTAGTGATTTGTGTATTGTGTACTAGGAAGGAAGACTCTGTTTGATTTCTGGGTCTGGCTGCTCCCTGCCCAGGCTGGCAGGAAACCCAGGGCTTCTGCAGAAATGGTGCTTTGCTTCTCAACTGGAAGAGCAGCTTGTGTAGCTCTGCAGTTAATTCCCTGCCCGAAGTAGGAGTTGTTCCAACACACACTAAACAGTTCTATTCAGTGTCTCCTGTTTGGCACAAAGTTCCAGCTTAGCAAAAAGTCATTTAGGAAGTATGAACTGTTAAAATAGGGTCCAAATGTATCCAGAACGGAAAAACCACCATGAGAAAGACAAAGAATTAGTTAATCTCTTTTTCTTTTAAAACAGTATCTGATGACATGGCTCAGGCAATCCCAGAAGCCACCTCTCATTGGAATGTTAAGAAATAAAACAATGCAGTTGCTGTGTTGAATCTTAAACCTCATATGTGAGTCAGTTGTTAATTTACTTTGTTCATGCTCAGAAAAGTCTGTTCTTCAGAAGATAGCATATCATAATACAAGAGGAAAAATTCTTAAATATTTTAAGCCTAGGGTTTTCATTCAAGGAAAACGCCTTAGAAACCAGCAAAATGTGTGATTCACTTACAAAAGATACAACTGTTGAAAAAAGCAACATCAAACTACCATATTACATTTTATTCAAACAGTATTTTAATAATTGTTAATATTATGTATTGGTTTTAATTTTTATAGCCAGGGTGAATCCAGATTTTATATTTTATATTCTATATGTATGATTGTTTATTTATTATGTTGGAAGCCGTCCCGAGGCTTATGCAACTGGGATGGCATATAAAAACTCCAAACAAACAAACAAACAAACATCATCTCCAAATATAATGTATATTTAAAAGCTTTTTGGCACTTTGTATGATAACTGCTCTAAGATTAAAGTATTCTGCTGTACTTATTAATTCTGAACTTAACATACTGACTACAAAATTCTGGTTCCAGTTTGGAATAGGTTTGGGCAATGGTGACAATAGGAGAAGGCTGTGGATCATCCCTATTTTGGTAGTCATGGGCATATGGAGATAGTGGTTGGATGAGCCAATTGAATGCAAGAGTGAGGCCTTTCCTTTCTCCTGGTTCACCTACCAACAGGTTTTAGGTTGCACTGCTAATTTGCCTGCTGACCTAGTAGTGCTGTTTAGTGCCATGCTGGTTCATAATAAGAGAACAGTAACCCACAATTGAATTATAAATGAAGAGTTCTATAGTGCATGCATCACTGTGAGGGATTAACTGCATTAGGTAGTTTTGCCCAGGTCTGTACATCTGAGTATTTTATTTATTTATTTATTTAGAATATTCTATGCCGCCCCATTCGCCGAAGCCTCGGGGCAGCTCACAAACATAAATAACTTCGATAAAATAATATAAATTAACAGTATAAATTAAGTCGCCCTGGCCAAAGAATAAAATAAATAAATACTATTAACAGAATACAGCACATCACAAATACAGGCTGAAGAAAGGGGAGTTATTGTCAGCTATAATGTGTGGAACATGATGCCATTATTGATACAGTTCCTATGGAGGTGTCCAAGGCACAGTCTAGGATGGTTTGCTATCAGTTTCCATGAGCTGTTTCAAGCTTGCTGCATCTTTTTTTCCCAATTAATATTTTTAGGGGTGGAGAGAGATGGTGAAAACCAACTGCCAAGTCTGCTTTCTCAGTCCTCCTTTTGACAACTATGAACTGTCCCTCTAAAGTATCTTAGTGGCACCTTGGAAAGGCTGCCAGTGATGGTTCAAGCTTTTTTTTTAATGCACCAAACATTCTTGTTTATGCATTTATTGCTCACAAACTGGGATCCCCATGGCAAGAATGGCAAAATTCCCTTGCTGTTCTTGCCATGAGGCTCTGGGCAGAGGCCAGCTAAAGTGCCCGACCATTACTTGGAGGCAGGGGACATTGGTTTCTCCTGTTCCTGCTCCAAGATTTTCAGACTACAGAGCCCCTTCTGCACATAACATGAACGCTAAGTATCTTTTCAGATTTATTTACGCTTTTGTAGACTTACCTAGGTCAATAAGGATTGCATGCTGCTGAGAGGTTAACTGTTTTAAAAGTTCTTTGTAAGCTGTATCCTTTGGTTGTTGTTTATTTGGAAACTGATGCTTAAGAAGGTATTGTTCTGCTAAAAGTTTCCAGATCTCGCCTCGATGATGTCGAGGGACTCCTTTAAAAAGATAATAGAAACAAAGAAAAAATAATAATTGGAGAGAGGGCAGATTATTACGCATCACTGATCACTGTACAATTCATCTGTCTCAAACAATACTACTAAAGAATTTTTACCTTAACTCCCATCAATTATTTACTAAACTCTCAGTTTTCAAGTTATTTGCTAAACTCTAAGAGACAGGTCTGCATAGGAAGTACTGAGTGCTTTGGATGAGCTTGCCTCCCCAAAGCAGGATAGGGATCCTAGGGTAGGCTAGCCATCCTTTATCAACCAAGCCAAAACAGTGAAGGCTGAATATATATAGTTTTCTATTTAAGATACATTATAGTCCAAAGGTTATTCATCAGGAAATAAGGATTCATTTTAATTATGTAGCATGAGGTTGTATATTCATGCAACATTTGATTTTTTGGTAAATGAATTCCATTAATCCATTCATGTCATAATGGTACACTTCTCGTTCGAGGGCCAATGTGGACAGAAGGGGGTGCTACTTCCTCTCCAAAATGCATCTCAGAATAATGCTATCCCACAGTGCAGGACCATTCAGGTGCATGGAAATTTTTCCCCAACTGTCTGAAAGTCACCCACAAAATGCAAATTAGCAAAGACTGAGCCTGCCTCATCCTCTCTTTTGACTCTAAATTCCCTCCAAAATTTGTCTGAAAATTCTCCTTATATCAGTGTACAGTAATTAATATGCAAACTGCTGACAGAATTAGGAAATGTCATCTAAAAGGAACAATGTGTGCACCTGAGACCTAATGAAGAATCCCAAACTAGTGCTATTCTGGATGTTCATGGTTCTTTTTTACTGGAAAAAAAAGCCTTGTATGGGGTTCATGGGAAAAAAACCAGCCTCTCATACTTCTGCATTTTTTGTGTATTTTCTTTAGACTGTGTGATTTAGTCTGGAATCACATGACAAACATACTGCTATTGCAGCAACATGTAGCCAATTGGATTTAGCAATGTGACAACTTCAAAGAGCAAACAAATTCCCCCAATGCACTACCTCAAATTAGGAAGGGCTGAGAAGGAACATAATCCATTTCCCAAGCAAATGGGCCAATGTTCTCTGGCTTCCTCTATATTACCTGGTGCTTTACTGAGGCTTCTTCTGTTTCCTTTGTGGGGGTCTCTTAGTGTCCTTCACACAAGATTTCCCCCCACTCCTGGAGGTTTGTGTCTCTGCCTGTCTAAAAGCTCCTGTATCTTCCATTATGCAACACAAGGTAGAGCTGCAGGGTGTAGTCATGGAACTGCAATATTTTATTAGATCTCTGCAGTGAATAATGGCACATGTAAGAAAATACCAAAATGTCCCCACAGTAAAAAATGCCATGGGAGAGGCCCTTGAGTACAAAATGTAAAAAGGCCCTGCGGATTCTGTGAGTGAAGGATCACAAGCAAACAAATGTCTTGTGCGGAGAAGCCTTCTGTTTCATTGTGCTGCAGTTGTGGAATCATTACTCACTATCACGCTCTAATCAAGCTATTGTTATGCATCATTATGCACTGGGGAAGAATGTATACTGAGATGCACATGTGAATGCACATTTCCATCCATTTTCTCCCCCTAGGAGTCAAATAGGAACTCCCAGGTCTCAATTACCTCAGTAAATGTAAAGTACTTCCTTCACCTATTCCCTCAGTTCCAGCAGCTGCATTATGAACAAGAGTGTACAGAAAAATCCTTGAAAAGATGGGCATATTTCAGAGGAATGCTAATGAAATGTACCCTTCCTGTGTCTGTACTGCAATATGCCAAGCCACTGAGCCAAAGCCTCAGGACCTTGGAAGTCTCATTGGTTGTCACTGAAATGAAGGAAGGGAGAGGAAAAGAGATTCAGCTGAAGTGCTTATAATTGGTTCTTTTTCTGTGCAGCTGTCTGAGAGCAACGCCATGATTGGTAATGCCCGCTTGCTTCTCTATGAGTATTGCTATATTTTGCTTGAACACATAGTTTGCTGTGAACTGGAACAAGCATACTGGGTGACCATGGGTGGATTCACAAGTTATGCTGACCCAGTAAGTTTTGCAATAAGCCACAGTGGGTTGTTTGCTGAATTGCCCATGATGATGCTGACAATTAATTAGCCTCTTGGAGGCTCATTATGCCTTGTTTCCAAGTCACTCTTCCCACCTGCTCCTGGCATGCATCCCAAAGGCATTTGCAGGAAAACCCATCCCGTGATCATTTGCTACATCAGCACCCTTTCTGCAATTGGTCTGCTGAGTGCTCTGGATGTATCCTGCCTCTGCCAGCTCCCAATGGAAAGTTTTCCAGTCCCTCTTTCTTTAGTCCTTGGCTGATTGATATCCATGTATGTGTCTTTTTCTGGTGAAAACTGTAAGTTCAGCATTCCTTTTGGTAGCTTTATTTTTGCCTTGCACTTACTTAATCTGTGGATGCAGCAATGCTGTCTTTGGCTGCCAAAGAAATGGATTTCACTCATCATCCTCCCCTGTACCTCCTCTGCTCTCCAACAGCTGTAGAAATGGCTATCACTCACTCTACCTTGCTCTCCGCACCCCACCTTCCTACTGTGCTCTGACTACCAGAGAAGTCTGAATTCTTCCTCCCTTTCACCTGCCCCCACACTTTCCTTTATCCAGAGAATCATATTTCACTCATGCTGCCAACTCCTCCACCCCACCATTGGTCTCCAAGAGCACAATAACCATTTCGACCTAAGCCTTGTTCCCCACCCCATCAGCTTGGTTTCCTGCCATCACTGCCTTCTATCTCCACTGTGGATTATTCCCCTAGTTTTATATCTGTTGCTTCTTATAAGCAGACACAGCTGTGCTCTTTAAAAATGTTTTACTGTGAAACCATGATTAGTAGCATGTTCTGCAGACAAGTTTTGGCACTGAGAGGGGTCTGAACTTAGCTATAGGCTTTGTTCATATGGGGATGGCCACCTAAAGCAATACTGATGTGTGGGTGGTTAAAAATCCCCCAAAATATATGAATGGGGTGACACAGGAGATATGATGGGGGGCTTACATGGGAAATGATAAGAGGTGATGACTGCAGAAGGGGAAAAGCTTACACATCTCAGGCTTGCCAGAAGTATATTAATGGTGAAAGGATGCACACATGGCATCAATGGAAGTGTGGTGTGGGTGGGAAGGCTTACCAGCTGTATTCTACCTACAACAACAGTTCCAAGCCAGAGTACATAATTTTGCTGCTGTAAATCATTTGCAAGTGATGCACATTCCCCATGCATGATATGCATGTGGGTGGTCCAGTATCCACACATCAATAGCTGTATTGTGTACTTCATTCCAATTTGCAGTTTTGGATGATGGGTTTAGCAGATACAGGAGTGAGGAGATGGATCTGGGCAATTGTCTATTCCAAATGCAATGTTCTCAGTCTTTGGTCCTGGGGGTTGTGCAGGATGCAACAAGTGACAGATGTCACGAAGTGTTCCTTCACATCCAGGAGCAGATAAAGGGAGCGCCAGATAAAGAGTGTGCCTTTAAGCAGCCAGAAGCACACCTGATGTGGTGTCTATGGAAGTAGTTAATAGTGGGACACCTCTGGATTCTGGAACAGCATATGAACCACAATCCAAGTGCAAAAATCTTGGCTGCTGAGGATGAACAGGTGCATAGGGAGTCCATTTACCATGGTAGTAGTGGTGAAGAATGAACCTGTTACTAGCTCATCTGCAATGGTGAATTCTAAAATATAGCAGTGTCATGGCATCTTCGCAAATTCTGCATGTATGTCTAGAACTCTGCCCTTTGAGTCTATAAGTTCCTGGAGCTCCATGCAATTTAAACACCCAACGCACATTTGAGAACAATCTACCACCAGCCAAAGGGAATCCTAGCTCACAGAATCCTTTCATGTTCTTTCTTTTGTCTCCTATGTTTACAATATCAGACAAATAGAAAGTGCACCATTTCTCCAAATATTTCCCATGCAGAAGACTTCCCTAGTTTAAGGGAGTACTGATGATGAAGTACCCAGTGTTGGAAGGAAACTTATACAAGGCCAGCCCCAACCTTTTGGTTTGAACTGACACATATTTACATCTTAACATGTCTGAATGATGAATTATAGGTGTGATGACGGATGCTGTGATTTCAAAAGTGGTCGGGACATGCAGTAAGTGCCATGGAATCTGGCAGCAGTCCAAGCATCCATTTCAAGCATCGGTGCCTAAAAATGTTTCAGTGTGTGGCACTGCCAACTGGCAGAGACCACATCTATCTCTTGTATGCAGCTATGCTACAGCTGCTGCAATCGTATCCTCACATCATTCTTTGTCCGAAGAAGCAGACATCTGCACCCACTGCACTAGAGTAGATTCTCTAGTGGCTCGACTGCACCTCTGTGCTGCAGGTGGAGGGTAAAGGGAGGATGAAGAGAATTGATCTGCCAAGGCGCAAAAGGCGAGAAGCAGCAAGCAGACCTTGACTCACAAAGCAAGCACTTCGTTTGTTTTGCTGCAGATACCTACAGAGCAGTAGGTAATGCCTCTCAAACAGGTAAGTTGAGGGTATGTTGATAAATTGATTAAGGACTGAGGAAACAGTGCAAAAAGAGAGAAATGAAGACAGAAGAAACAGAAACACTTTTGAGGGTGCAGTGATCAATATTCAGAGCCCCAAAACATTAAACCACATCCCCCTGCTAACACTCATGGTAGGAGTGCACCTTTTTGCCTAAGGCAATCAAATCTTTGTCACAGAAACATGAACATGTCCATGTGTCCTGGCAGTAGAGGTGACCATAGTTCCAGAAGCGAAACTGAAACTTTCCCACTACCACATTCTCTCTAGTTGAATGCCTAGTCCAACCACACAACATTACTACAAATTATGGGCTGAGAGTGGGGTTCCGACGACCCTCCATGGAATCCATCCCTCTTAAGTTTACAGACTGCCTCTCAAGCTTGGTCCTGACCTAGAAAGTGAGCTGAGCCAAAGTCCATGAACATTCACGCAGTGGTACAACCAGCAATCTTCGGCATCACGGGCAGTTGAAAAAAGTCTGAAAATATTGTGCACAGAAGAGGGATGCCACTTGCACAGCAGTCGCACAGGGTTTGATTCCTGATGAGCACTATGCAAACGGTTGGTGTGCTCACCAGGAGATTGGACTCATGACCAGGATGGGGGGAGCCAAGCCCAGGAATCTGATGGATGCCACCCCTCAGAACAGATTCCTCACATGTCCCTAGCTGAGAGTATCCTTGAAAGCACAATCTTCTCATAATGGATTTTATTTTGATACAAGAAGGATGAGAGGGTAATTAAACAGCAAAGCATATAACCAGTGTGGGGCACATATGTGCAGTGGTTAGTGGGAAGAAGCAAAAGAAGCACTTAGCACCTTGACCTTTGCCCTGGTGCCACTCCTTTTCCATGTCTGTCTGCCTGTGTGTTCAGTACTTTCCAATGCAGAACACCAGAATAGAGCTGGACCAATACCCTATGTAAAACCATTGGCAACTGCTATGCTAGCCTAGGAATAACATAGCTTATATGGATTTTAAAAGATGCAGTGGACCTACTTCAGGAACTAGAATGCAATATATCATGTCCAGACTTTAGCTCAAACCACTGATCTCAGTTTAACTGAATTTACTGGTTTTTTAAAGCAAATAAAATGGTGTATATGTTAACACTATATACATTTTCCTGAATAATCAGTCCTGCTTTCTGTATAAATAACTACAACAATAAAGCTTTTTATGATGTGAATTGCCCCTTCTATTTCCAAGTATCTCACATGCATTATTATCTAGTTGCATTCCTCAGAACAGTCCTTTTCAGAAAGGCCACCTAATGAATTAATAGCAGAAATGAGATTCAAACTGGGGAGTTCCAAATTTGTAGCTCAGGTTCTTAGCCACTATGATATACCAAGTCTTTTGTAACACCAATTAAGAATTATTTTGTGTATGTTAAGTATGGTCAACTTCTATACTAAAGTATATTCCAGCAACACTGCATAACAACAATATTTATATAATCAATTACCCCATTATTTAAATACAAATCATAAGAGTTCAGTTTCTAACAATATGTATATAGATCTGCATCTTACAATAATTAAAGCTTCACCTTTTCCAACAGCAGAATGTATTTTTTCCATGTCAAATTTCATCTTCGACTTTCCCGGCGTTGTCAACATTTTTTCCCAGACCAATGTTACTTCTTTAAGGCATGGAGTGATTTCTTCATAATCAAGCTTTAGACGTTTATTTAGAAGATTGTTTTCAGAAGCTAAAAATAATGAAGATACCCAAATTAATGATAACCAGTATAAAGTGCTCTTAAGCAGTTATTTAAGACAGTTCCCTGAAAACATTACCTCAATGAACCATGATGGGGGAAAGGGGGGGAAAAAGGCAAGTGCATTTCAGCAGCTCTGAAAAGGAAAAAATAATAAAGAAATATGACAATGCTTCTGATTCATATTCCATGGGCCACTCCTCAGAATGCCTCATAATGGACACTGGGAAAAAAATGTCATCGTGAGATATTTCCTTGCTAGCAGTTCACTGCATGTAAGTATTGAAATCATTCATTGCTGTTGATGTTGAAATGTGGAAAATGGTTATAGGTATGATGCTTGGCATTACTTTTGAGCTGAACATGGTGTTCATCTCTAAAATGGGGCATTGTGCAGCGATGTTGGCAGCTGATCCAGACAAGGCATATACTGTCAGTGTTACTGCAGATGTAGCATGTGGGCAGGGCCTGAGTGAGGTCAGGCTTAAATGCAAAAGGTAAAAAGGTAGGATTATGCAGTGAAAGCCATTCTGAATCATAAAAGACTTCCCTATCTTAGCTGCTGGGCTTTTTCTTGTGCAAGCTATGCTGCTAAAAGCCAGGAGATCTCTTGGGCAACTACCACAAGGTTCCTTCACCCTGGAGGATAGAAATGATTCCATTTTTTGAAGAAGAAAGACACTGGGGATTACCACCTACCAAACTCTACATAGAGAAATTGGAGCACAAGAACCAAGACAAATGGAGATGGAAAGAAGGCAAGAAAAGTTAAAGCACTGTTCCTCTAGCCTTGAAAGGGCAGCATTAAATGTTGCTTGAACTATTGAGCATAAATTAGGACTACATTCTAAAAATAATGCATCACATCACATTACCCCTTTAATATGCCTGGTTTGATATATGGACAACAAGCCTTTGCTGTGACAATACATTCACAGCACACTGTCATTCTTGGGATATACTAGGCCAATACATCATAAGAATACTGTCACTTTGATGATTTAACAGTATAATGCATCACCAAAACAACACTCTCATTTATTACAGTAATGAGACAATCCACAGGAAAGTACAGTCTTGGATAGCTCAGTCCTCCACTGTAATTTCATGTTATAAAATGAAGAATACCTCTTTTTTACTTTTACCCATTTCTTCAAAATAGCACACTATATTTTCATATGGAAGAGCTTGTGTAAGCCAAGAATCAGGATTTCTTCCTCTGAGCTTGATTGTGACAAAATAATTTGGGGTAAGAGCATAATTCATAAAGTCAGAACAGCTCCTGAAATATCTTGCAGGAGTTCTGATTCCTTCTTGTTTCACTTACACTGGAGATGCCTCTGTGCCACTTGAACCATGAGGGCTTGTCCTCACACCAGCTTTTCCAGCACTCAGTGTAACTGTTTATGATTTGTCAGGTTATTCTTTTTTCACAGTTTTGTGTACTGTGGTGTTTTGTGTACTGCAATGAAAAGGCAGCATGTACAATTACCTCCTTGTTTAATTTTTAGATTTCTCTTCATACACTTTCAGGCATGAGAGCCTTTTGTTACTGGTCCCTTCATTACTAGGAAATCTAGCACTGCTAGATGGGGTGATTGCTAATAGGGGTTACACATGTACATGGTGAGGAAAAAGGAAATGTCTCCACCCATTGCCTATGCAACAGGAGATGCTTCCTTCTCTTCCTGCACTGCATCTTTGCAACAAAGCAGTGCCACAGAATTCCTGCACTACATAGGCAATTCTTCTCCCTTTTGCTGTATTGCCCTACAGTTTCACAAAGCAGGACTAGAAGAAATTAAAGCCACCTAGTTTTTAGGCTATCTTCTCCCTACTCCTTTGTCTGAACAAGAGCAGTGTTTGAACTCAATGATGATAATATGCAGCACATTTTGAATGCTACTGCATGGCATCATCTTGCTAACTTCACCATCCTACATAATTTGACTAGGGCTATGAAGTGAAGGGAAAAAATATTGCACAGAAGCCCAGATGATTGCTTTGAACAGCCACAGAAGATGCCGAAAGGGTACATTGTGGAGGGGAAATTGTGGAGGGATTGTGTACCTTTATCAACTTTCCATGTTTCCTTTTTCATGAATTATACTTTAGTCATGCATCTGGTATACAAAGGAGACATGTTCTGGGATGGATTGAAAAAAGTGTTCCTAATGCAATGAAAATAGGGTGACATGCAATGTCCACCAGTGAGTCTAGTTAAAGCCAGTATCTGTCAAATGGATTAAAGTGCAAGGACAACTCCTTAAGAATTTACTCAGAAAGACTGAATGGGAAGTTAACAGATACCTAGATGACCATTACTTTAAACATAAACAGGTGAATACAAATATATCAAAGACATAGTTCAAAGAAAATAGGATTTGTGCACATTATCAGCACTTCCAGGAACCAGACTAAGAACTGCCATTGATAAAACAAGCAAAGAAGCTATTAAGATAAAGCAAACAAACTATGGGTAAAGTGCAGCAGAAGAGGGAACACAAACATGAGCAGTTACTGGGAAAAAGGAATTCTGAACAAACACAAGGTAATGGTATGTACAATGTCTCTAGACCAGGCCTGAACTGCAAGTCAATCTCCAGATATTTTGAATTTCAACTCACAGAAGCCCTTGACAAAATGGTAATGGTCAGGTTTTTGATCTAGTAATCTACTCGCCTTGCAATTTCTGATTTTCCTTTTCCATCCTAAGTAGTAGTATCTGTTGAAGAATGGCCTTCTGCCACAGTTCCCGAAGTTCCTTGGATGTTCTTTTCCTTTCTTCTTTTACTGTCCTAAAGGGGCCATCTTCACAAACTGGTTGCAGTGGTGATCTAGGAGGAAGTTCTCCCAACTCAGAGTAGTCTTAATAAGGGAACAAAATAAGGAGGAAGATTCAAAAGCCCCATTTTTTTTGGATTTCTAGATCACCCCCCCCCAACATAGCATTTATTATCTCTATTTCTTAAATGCTTTTGGAGGAAAAAAAATCTGTAAGTTAAGCACAGTCCCTATAATGTAACTTACATGTTGTTGATGAACACAACATGCCTATTTTAAAGAGGCATCTGACAGGTGAAGTTCATGATGACTGTATAATCTATACCAGTTCACAATCAGTCCAAAATCCAGTGAAAATCAAGTTCACCCACCAAAGCAGTGAATTCAGCTAACACAAAGGAAATTAGTAAATAAACATCTCTACCTAAACTTGTTCTCTTTCTGTACCTTGTGAATAGGAACACATACATATTTGGCTATGGGTGGCATAGAAATGAATGATGATGATGTGACATTGCAGAAGTGAGCCTTCTTTTTCTGAATTTGCTTTAGAAAACTTACTTCAGCTAGCTTGGTTAGCATTTTTAATAGTTTACTGATGTCAGAAAACACAGACTGCTACTGGAAAAACCATTCTGGAAACCTTCTACTCTATACAAATAGAAAGCCTTTCAGCACATTCAGAAAGGGGATTTCAAGGCTGTAACTGGTGTTCCTGAACTCTTAATGCTGAGGTATGTAACATGTACCAAGGCTTATACCTCGTTATGTTATTTGCCCAAATCTCTGGGGTTTCAGTTAGAGGTCTTTCTTATCACTTGGTACCTTGCTCTTTTAACTTCATGCACTACCACTGAGCTATGGTTCCTTTTCATGTCTTGCCCCTCATAAAAAATCATGAAATGAAGATATGGAAATATAAATGTAAATGTATTATTGCAAGTTTGACTCAGCAGCTTTGCACAATAGAATATTTAAACATGGTTGATGGAAAGAAATAAAATTGACCTAGGTATTAGGAATTTTAAGGTGCAATCCTATCCATGTTTAGACAGAAACATTTGCTGAGTCATGTAGTGAGTTTGAGAACATTTTTCTGTCTAGCCATGCACAGGCATGTGCCCTCCTTTTTGGTTACAGAACACTGTCCAGGAGCCCTGTTGAGTATGTGGAAGAAGTTGTGAAGTTCCTTGGAACAAAGTTAGAAAAAATGATTTTTATTTTTTTCCCTTCTAAAAGCAATACATTTTTCTCCAAGTAAATGAAAGTCCCAAGGTGGAAATTATTAAGCAGAATCCTATCTTTTACCTGATTCCAAATAAATAATTCCTTGTCATCAGAGCTCTGAAAACTGATGCTACCATATATAAAGGCACAGAATTTACATGCTGTAGAGGCCAAGGTACGTTATGCAAATTCTGATTGCAACTCTTCATACTGATAGTCATGTTTTACTAAAGGTCTGCATGAGACCAATAAGACCAATTCTGGAAAATTCTAGCTTTGTGATTTCCAATATGAACTAACTTGGGCTTTGCGTACATCTGTCTACAGATTTTAGTTCTCTTTCCTATACTGTATATCCAGACAACTATCATATGGATTACCTGCTTGGAAATACTAATGATATACATTGAGCAAGTACCCATTGTACTTTCATATGATGTTAGGAATCAAATGTAAGCATTTGAGGATTGATTTGTATATGGAAATTAATGTAAGAAATAATATATGATAGCTTTAGTTCCCAACTTGAAAAATGAGTACAGTATTTTATTGTGAGCACAAAAATTGAGCAAAAACAGTAGAGCAAGCAGACCAATAAAAATAGCTTAAGCATGTATAATTCACTTTAGAAAAATCTATACATTTAACAATGGCTATATTGTGTGGTAGCTGAAATGTGTAAGTCATTTAAATTAAGATGTCTAAAAGATGTAGCTCTTATACAGAATTTAGCAAACTTATTCTCAATTATTCCCCCCCACACATTCATTTATGAATTACTTTTCAGACCAAATAGAACTCTTAAGGTGAGTTACAGTGAAAGCCATTCCAAAAGTTGGAAAAAAGTCAAAATATAACAATATAATGTTATATGTAAAAATATTAAACTTTAAAAAGACATGAAAAACATTGAAACATCACCAACAGCCACACTGAGAGCAAGGAAGGATTTTTTAAAACAGAATGTAAACTAATGTATTTCAAATACCAAGCCCTCTGGAACAATAAAGGTTGAACAGTTTGCCTAACACTAAACAAGGAAGGAGCCTGCCTAATTTCATCTGAGAGAGAATTCCATACATGGGGTACTGCCAACCTAACTTCCTTTGACAGTGCAGACTGTAGGCCGGCTCATTAAGGGTGAAAGTGGTCTTCCGTATATTATAGTCCCAGCTTGCTATCCACAGCTAATCCATCACTGCATTCAGGCAAAGGGTTCAGGACTGCCAAAGCCTCCCTGGTATTAGCTGACAAAGAGAGATATTGCTGAGTACCATTAGCATTACACTGAGACCTGACTCCAAAACTCTGAATGACCTCTCCCAGTGGTTTCATGTATCTGTTAAACAGCATGGGGAAATAAAATGGATCTCTGAGGCCAGAGGCTATGGCGTTGAGCAGTAGTTCCCCAACACAACCTTTTGGGAGTGCTGAGCCAAGTAAGAATGGAACACCTTCAACACAATCTCTCACAAGAACTATACTAGCTGAACACCCTAGAAACATACTATGGCTGATGGTATCTAATTCAGTGGTCTGCACCCTTTGTTCTGCACATATATGCAGTGCCCCTGCATACACACACATTTTCTGAAAGGGCAAGGTGTCCTCTGAAACTATATAATGCAAGAAGTTTCTGCTGGAAGACAAAAATCAGGCATCACCCATTCTGCGTGTACATATAGGTATCTCTGATTCTAAATAGATTTCCAGTAAGTGTCAGTATTTGATAATTTGTGTTTCCTTTCCTCCCAACTAAGTCCTCAAACTGTGGACTTAACACCAATCCATTCCCACTACTAGAAAAGAATAATTCATTTGACTTTAACACATGGGAATAAAACTAAGCAATCTTAATTCTCTAGAATCACCAGTAGGCGAAACAGTGCCATCTGGTGTACATGATAAAAAGTGAGAGAACAATTCAATGATCACCATTTTCTTTTCAGAAATTGTGATGTTCTAGTATTTGGTGTCAAACTCACTGTAAATCAGCTTAAAAGAAAGAAAAGACTGTAGGTGAAAATGCCAGGATGTTAATAAGACCTCAGAGGCTCACATTCACAAAACGCATCAAAATGTTTGTCTCAAATGCAACTGATGAAATTAATTGAAAACTCCATACCTTATCTTTCCCAAATCTGTCTGTCTCCCTGTTTTTTTCTTGACTATTTGTCATCTTACTGCTTGAGGTCAGTGGGTGGAAACAGAGCTACTACAAGCCAGACGTACAAGATGCCTCATATTTTGACTGATGCAACAGACTTCTTCCATGAGAAACTGCTTTTAAAACGTCCTTGTATTTAGAATACATAAGAATAGCCCTGCCGAATCAGACCGAGAGTCCCACTGCCAGATGTGCTCAGTCAACCCCACAAAAACAAAGCAACAGGCTTTCCTCTTTGATTTCCCTTAGTAACTAACATCCACAACTAGAGCACAATCACTGACAGATCAATCTGGCATTATTTTTTACATCTCATAAATCCAGTGTCATCACCACTGCTTTTAGTAGTAAATTTTATTATATTATATTTGGTATATACTGAATCTATTGCCAGTAAATTTTACTCAGAGACCCTGGTTTCTGGAATTTTTAAAAATATAGAAAAACAAAGCTCCATCCATTTTTAACAAATATTTATTTATCTATTACATTTATAACACATCTTTTTCCCATTCAGGAACTCAAGGTGGCTACATGTGGTTCCTAGGTGGTTTCCCCTCCAAGCTCAGGCCACCCCAGACCTGCTTAGCTTCAATATCCTTAACAAATCTCTAGCATGCCCCCACTTAGCTCTACCTGCATCCTGGTCAATAAAACTTTGGTAGCTCTGTCAAAAAACCTGTTTTAAAAGGAAATTTAAGTTCTGACACTCTCAAAACTCCATGTACCTGTAAAGAGGTGGATAGCAACTTTCTACCTTCCTGAGTAGGTCTGGAATACCTCTAGAATCTCAGAAAGAGGTAAAACACAAAAACACTGAGAAGAGAAAGGTCCAGCCAAAAAGCTAGAGAATCTTGCCATGAAGAGGATCGTCTACTGGCCATTCCTTTTTTTTCAAACAAAGAACATGTATGACTTTACTTTCCCTTAATAACTCACTTTTTGACAGCTGTCAGGAAAGAAAGTTGTTTGCTGTTTTAGGCTAATTTTATCTTGTGTGTGTATGTGTGTTTAAATAAAAAAGCTGTGTTAACCACCAAGGCAGTGTTGGCTATTGGGCAATAGAACAACAAAATAAATACATTTTAAAAACTTTTTAAAAAATAATAACCCTATTTGTAGTCACTCTGGATCAGTGCCCAGTGCCTGCTGATAGGAGACACTTGCCAGAACATTGCCCAGGTGAAGCTTCCCATTTTAGGCCTGTACAAGTTCGCATCTCCACACTTGAGCAAGGCTGACTCATTTTAAAAATCCCTATGAAAACATTGTACAACACCTATAAAATGGTAAACCAGTGCAAAATGTACAAAGGGGTACAAAACTAAAATGGTAAACCAGTGACAACCTTCCAGTGTGCCATCTGGGTAATTTGGAGAAGGTGTCAGTGGCTGTCAGCAGATTCAGAATGTGAGATAAATGGGGCAGAAAGGTAGTATTTGGCAGGTGACTCTGTACAGTCAAGGTTAAGAAGCGAAATTGGTTAGGCAGAGATGGAGAATCAGACTATCTTGGACACAGAGGGAGGAGGCACTACAGAGCAAAAGGAGGCAGAGAGTGAATTCATAGATAATGAGGCAGTGCCAGGCCAAACAAGACAGATATGTAAGTCTCAATGCTCCTATGGTTTGGCCACAAGCTGTGAGAGCTACTTGGAGATGGATTCAAGACTCTGGGAAAAGGAATGGAGAAGGGTCCTTCTCTGTTTAAAATCAACTCTTCACATGGGCCGAAACTACTCTGACAGAGGGGAGGGATCATTACTTTGATTTATGCAACTGGTTAACAGCTCTTTTAGCAAAACCTGTTTATAAAACCCTGTATATTAATAAGTTTTTCATTAAGTGGGGGCAGGGAGTAACTCGATGGTGAGTCTGATCATCTGTCAGGCACACTGTGGATTGTTTCATGAACAACCCACACTGTGTAGTTTATTCACAGGGCGGCTTGTTCTGTTGTGCAAACCTGTGCAGTGTCTTCCTTTAGAGAAAAAAAAAGCTAAAACCAAGAAGTATTTCAAGTTATCCATCATGATCAATGAATTAAAGGAAATGACAGAGAACTTATGTAACAGAAACTTCCGGAAACAACCTGTGTTGGGCAGCTGTTCCATTCAGAATATATAATGGAATATATAACCATCAGCATCACCAGAATGAGTTTTCATATCATCATCAGATATTCCTGACAGTAGTAAACCAGTAAATAGCTACCTGGTGACCTGCTCTAATGACTATGGGCCCCTATGTTTCTAAAGTACCATAGAGGCACTTTCCATGTGGTAAACATATGTTCATAAGTGCTGACATATTAATCCATATATCTTCAGTTTGGAAAGATTTCATTCAGACCAGGTAAGGTCCATTTATAGGCTCTTCTGACTCTTGTGGTACTCAGGACTCTGAATCGTAGGATATGTTCAGTTCGGCAATAATGGAATTGTGTTTATGGTAATCCCAACAATCAGGATATGAAAGAAATTACATAAAAAGTTACTGCTACAGTACATTTTATACTTTTACTATAGATGTAATTTAACTGAGAACTGCAATTAAGATTTTGTGTTGGTTAATTATGAAATTACCATATACAATAGAAGATTGATACTGTAGTGATAAGGCTACTATTTTAAACACTTTTTACAAATCCTAAGCCTAGAAACTTTAGAAGCAAAGGTAGGTTTGGCAAAGCACTAGAAAAAGCTGAAATGCCAATGAGTGATCAAGGGAATGATGGAATATGGCCACTGTGAAGTTTATTAAACATGAACATAAGCAAAATTAGGAAAGGTTACAGCAAATGGAGCATTTCACAGATATAATTTATAATGAGTTGCAGAAATATATGGATTGTACCCATGCTATTCTACTGATGGGAACCACTATTTAAGTGGAACTGGAATGAGGGTAATTTCCCCCATCCTGCATGTCTTTACAACCTGCTCTAGGAGACGGTTAAATTCCCAGAGCAGATTTCTGAATGGTGTAGAGAACTACAATGGGAAAGTGAAAGAGAGAAAATCCCACTGTGTAAATGGACTTCCAAAGCTGGATTTAATGTTATGGTCCTTCATATATTGCTTTCCATTTTATGGAAAACATGAAAAAACCGGTATCACTCATGTGAGCTATGCAATGAAAAAAAAAATCCAAGACTTCATCTAGAGAATACATCAGGCAAATTCTTTATCTAAACAAGGCCTTTACCATCATGCCAACTTGGAGAATCACATCCTTTCTGTGGTGTTGCCACTCTCAGGAATATCTGTTGTCTCCATGAATGCCGTCGAGTCCTCACAGGGCTTTCGTGGACAGAATTTACTTCCCTTGACTTGGGCTTGTAGTCACTGAAGTGAGAAGTGTGGAAATCGCATTTATCTTTTTAGTAATAATTGCAAAATGAGGTAATTGCAGCGTTTTACAATTAAATAGAATGAAATACAAAACTAAATACAAATCCTCCACATATGCACAGCCACAAACTGCAGATAAAATATAAGAAATGCAACTCTTTTTTCAAGTTACAGGTCAACTGAGACGAATTGCTACTGCTACCCCTTCACTGAGAGTTCCTATGACAAAAAGAACCCACAGAAGCCTTTGCACCTTGTGCCCGGGCATCCTCACTGAAAAAATACCAAGCACTTGAAGCATTGGTATGAGGCATAAGATAGTCTCCTAGAAAAGTGAGGGGCCTTTCCCTAAACTTTCTCCTTTTCGAGCTCCTTTTGTAAATTCTTTCTCAAAGCACAATCTTTCCCCCAGTATTGTATTTTCTGTCAGTCATGTTTTGAACCAAATGATATTATATTACTCCTGTTTCTTGTAAAAAAAAAAAAGATACTGCCACTTTTTGTCTGAAGGGAGAGCAGCTGCAGAGCTGCATGTGCTCAGTGCAGATCAGAAACTCCCTGCCACAAATCTTCCTCTTTGCCCCTAGAGTTATTTACTGTAAACAACACTTTTAGGAACAAATTGCAGCTGTGGGGGCTCTGGTCTTCTCTAAATCACAAGTATGGCACTGAACTGAGGCTCCATGGCTGCTTCCTCTTCAAAATATATGTGGCAACATTAAAAATATTTTAAAGAAAACCAAAAGTAATGAAATGAGTGGTTTGGCCCTTAAAGAAATACCACGAATCCACAGCTGGTGGGGAGAAGTTCCTGTATTACTTGATAGAATGCAAAGTTTATACTCTAATAAATTTCATCTCACAAAAGCTCTTTCATGAGGTTTGAAGCTGATGTTACTAATACATCTCATAAAAAATTGGGTGATCCATGGATTCATTTTGTTTATATTTATAATTATATAATTGATATTTATAAATAAGCTACAATGAAGTGAAATAGCTTTAATTTTCGATGAAATGCCCTACGTTATCTCAACAATTAAACTTGAACAACAGTAATTTCAAGAACTTTAGTTGAAGCCTGTTTTATCAGAGACAAACAATGCATCTGAATTAAAGATTATTTAGCTTCAGGAAAAGACCCCTACCTTTTTGTGTTCCTAAAGTCAGAAGTGTTATTTTCATCTACAGGAGCCAGAAATTTTAAGAAGTTTGGCACAGAAGAGGAAGAATGAAGCTTTTTCCGTAGAGCAGAACGGTAGGAGGTGCTGAGAGTGTAGTTGAAAGGGGCAATTCAGAATGAGGAAGAAGAGGTGTGCCAAGTAAAATTAAAAACACAAAACACAAAGGAGTCAGTATCAAACCAGGAAAAAAAACATACTTGTAGGTGTTAAAAGCAAATAACAAAAAATCAAAGAATAACACTGCAAGGCATTATATAGTTTGTTCTGTAGGCTACCAATTTAAGCTTTATTTCCAATGTATCGGAGAACATGAAACCTCATTGTTCTGATTTTTAAAATGGTGAATGGGAGATCAGGGGAACAGATTTGGCTTTTCATTGCTACTTAGAAAGGTAAGGGGGCACCACACTTCCTTTTCAGGTGATCTTATAAAACAAAAGAAAAGGTGTAGCAAGAAAAGCACTACTGTCGTCACTTTCCAAGAATAATTTTTTAAAATATATATTTAAGACTGGAAAATAACATACTTAAATGAAGAGGTTTTAGGGCAGATTTGTATGGCCATATGCATATGACAAAGATGCACACTGAATAAATGAATCTTAACTTTTTTACTTTTCTGGATGCATGGTGAAGTGGCCATGCAAATGCTTCATCTGGTGCATACTTATGCACATTACTTTGCAGTAACACAATAAAGCAGAATGGAAGCAGATGATGGAGCCATTACAGCAGTCCTCTCCCACCCTGACACCCTTCTACCACTCTCAGGACTCACAGCTTATCCATGCTATCCCAATGGATCTTGGTAGCTATAGTCCAACACATCAGAAGACTACTAGTTTGGGGAAGGCTACATTGCAGGAATTCATGTACTTCCAAGAGAGAAATATCAACCCCATTCCTCAACTCTCATATAATCACCTTTCAAAGACTATGAAAACTGTTGGTTACTTCTGCATAAATGAAGACATCTTCAAACGATATGTGAAAAGCCAAATTCATGGCAGAAAAAGCATAAATTATGTGCTGCCTATGCTTCTGAGGACTGCATCTGTCTGTTTCACTGCATATGCACACATGACAATCTACAGAAGAAAGTGTTTTCCAAGCAATTCAATTGTCACGTTTCAAATAGCTGGAAATTATGTGTTAATAAACTAAATTAAAATATTGCCTGTATTTATATATAATATGCTCTGATCTTTCAAAACTATAGTTTGGAAGGACAGCAGTTTGTTAGTTTGACAAATCACAGTGTTCTATTAATGTAAGCATACTAGGGGAGAAAGGAATTGAGAAACTGGGCTGGTTTGCATACCATGCTAAGTCACCATTCACCCATCAGACTCGAAGATGTCTGCCAGCCACCATTCTGATATGCAAGGGGTGTTGTAGCTTGTAGAGTCATGGAAACAACCCTCAGATAACCCAAGAACAACCAGTGATATGCTACTTGCATATTAAAAATGGTGCTCAACATACATTCTCAAGTTCAGCAGGTGAATGAACTTAGAGTGGCTTACTGGGACACATGGACCAGGTTTATATGTACACACAGCTCATTCCCAATCCTTGAAACCATGGAATGGAGAACAGAATGTCTGAAATCACTCACTGTTTTAATGGAGTTTTGCTCCCCATGTTAAAACCTTATTTCCTGATTTTTTCTAATTGTCTAAGGAACAAATTAAATGGGATTGCTAAATTCCTGTGCAGTAAAAAAGAAAAATTATGCTAGTTTTCCACATCATGTGCTGGGGGACAGGGTGACAACCTAATTGCAGCCAGAAGGTAGTTTATCTTCCATAGGGTAACAGGTGATTTTTATGATTTAAATGTTCACTGAGTTTAAAAAGAGCCACTTGCTTGTTTGTCCAGGTAGGATAATAGTTGCTTCCAGGCTATTTACCAATTAAGATTTAACAAAAACGGTTCTTTTTTTCTTTTTAGGCTTCAAAACACTGATAGCTATGTGTGGAGTAGTGGACTGGTATATGTTTTTTGTGGGCTAGTAACGTTTGAAAGTTTGACCTTTATTTTCTTTTGCAACATGTAAGGTAGAGACATATGCTTACAAACTGATTTACTTCCAACCATAAACAAATGCCATACATCTCTTCTCTCACCTCATTGGTACAGCACGCCTGCTTTGTTCTCCACTTGAATTATGCCTAAGATGTTTTAATAAATTGGGTGAGGAGGCTGAGGGATTAAGACGAGCTGGAGGAGGAGGTGGAGGAGGAGCTGATGGTGACTGATCAGCTGGTTGTGGTGACTGATCTGAAGAAGTTTTAGAGCTGTTGGCAGATGTGTTCAAAATTTACAGGGAGAGTTCCAGCAGGGAAGATTAAAAGAAAGGTAAGGAAATTAAAAGAAATCTGATAAATCAAAGAAAAGGACAGAGAGTTAAAATAAAAAAGATAATCTACATCACTGTGTCAATAATGCTATCTATATGCTTGGAAACAGCACAGTCAAAGGCACCATGGAACATGTCAGGAAGTATTCTTTCCCTGAAATGTGTCCCTGTTGTGGGCTTGGTCTAACTCAAACTCTCTCTTTCAACGGACTCTCATAGAAAACAAAGTATGTAGAATGTAGACAAGATCAATGAGCAAGTAAACACATAAAGCTGCTGTACTGTTTCATTTTTCCAGATGTATGGAAGGAGTCTAATCTGACATGGCCTCCTTTCTCAACCTCCCAGAGAGCAACAGGAGTTTGGTTTCCAACACTTTAGGAAAGCTTTGTATATAACACAGAAATGATGGGCTGCTGATTTCTGCTGCTCAAATTTCTAACCCAAATCAGACTCTGCAATATCGACAGCTATTTATTTCCAGGGTTACAATATGTAAATTTCCATGCATATACCATCAGCATTGATAGAGACCAGATAATAATGTAGCAACTGCTTCACTGATGTTGTATGCAGAGAGAAAGGATCTCTAAAGCTAAGGTTGTGCACCAGCCATAACATTCAGCTGAGAAGGAATTTCTCAGTTCAAAAAGCAATACAATTTAGCTTAGACTAATCTGAACGTCATCTAGCTCCATCATGTTTAGAAGCCAGAGCTGCCACATGCAAAACCACACCACCTATCCCAGAGTTTTTCTTATATTGGAGTAACACTGCCTGGTTATGGTGTCCCTCCAGAGTGTTCAGATGTGAATTTAGTCCCCTTGAGAGGAGTTCAGATTTTAGACATATCCCAAATCTGTCTAAACTAGCCTGAATCAGTTCAGGGTTAGCACATCCCACACAAAACATTTTACAATATTCAAAGGTTCTCTCTAGGAATATATTTCTAGTGTTATGCTGAGGAACTGAAATGGGAGCTAGGAAGTTGCCATGTGAATTTTTGAATTATTGCAGTAACCTAATTATATGAACAAATTATTGGAACCACAGCCATTTAGCTTCAATTCAACTTCAAATTTACCATATTTAGAATTTACATTTAAAAAAATTACTATTCTAGACAGAGGGGGATGTCACAATGATACCTACAGTGATGCAATTCTCTTTAGGGTGTGCAGAACTGAGGTTAAAAGGAATGGATATTTTAAATGTATGTGCTGGCATACTGGAAGTCCTTAGATTCGTACAAAGCTAAGAACATAAACCAGTGCTTTTCTCAGTATCATTTACGACAAACCATTGTTTTCTCTCCCTGTAATTGTTTGACAAAGCTCAGCATAATGTCCTATAAAGATTTTTTGGATTCAGCAAAGTTGAAGTCAAAGATGAAATCTGCAAAAGACCCTCAGTTTGACTGAGCAGGCAGCAACAAACTGGAAAAGCATTACACAAAATCTGACCAACAATTTGCCAGTCTATAAGTGTAATGCTAAAGCCCTCTAGAAATAAACAAACACAAGGTTCAAGGAAAGGACAAGGAAATGAAATTTCTTTCTTTCACTCTTCCTCTTCTTTCTGCCAGAAAACAAGCACTGTATCTGAGGCAAGACTCTTTTGTTTTACCCTGCTATGCACTGCAGGAAAAACCGATTTGGCACAAATTCCAGTTTCTGATCGTTTATTTCCTAGCAAAGCAAAGAATTTCAGGCAAATGCACATTATGGAGGAGGTCAGAGAAAAGAAGAAGGTGAGAGGGGGGAATTATCAAGAATTTAGGGCTGCACATGCCAATGTTTAAAAAGTAAATATATGAAGAAAACTGGCACAAGAGGAACAAGAGATGTTCCATTAAAAGTAAATGAACTCCAGTCAAGTACCATGCAGGAAGGTAAAATAGGACAGGGATCAGATCTCTATCAGTAGACAAAGTGATATATACATTATGCCTCTTTTATAAACTACACTAGCAAATAAATAGCCAGATATTTAGTCTCCATTTCTGTGGGTATCATCCAAAGCTCATTCTCTTCCTGGAAGGAAAATCCCCTATGTACATTCTGGCCACAGGCATTCCCTTCAGCAAACACAACAGGAAAACATGTGCAAGTACAGCAGCCCATGCTTGAATCCTATCCCCTGGTATGTATCAATATGACTATTTCTCTAAATGTAAGACTTGAGTCACAGTTCCCACTGAGTGGTGGTACTGATGTTACCTAAGTGTCCAAAGGCATAATTGGGGCTTGCTTACTAACCCAATCAAAAAGGAACCCCTTTATAGGTTTCATTCATAAATGTGGAAATACACTTTGTAATATTGTCTGAGAATTTAAAAATTTAAGTCCATGCCGTGGCTCACTGAAAATGTACCTTTCCCATACAGTGGTAAGAAGTTAAAACATTTCCCCCCAAAACTTTTCCCAGATTGCATCTTACTTTAAAGCTAGTCTTACTTTTGCTGGTGAGGAGTCTCTGTGCTCACAGAATGGTACCTCATAAGTTTCTTTTGGGGAACAGATGGAGATGCATCAGTAAATTCTGAGGACTCCTGGCTGTCCGTTGGCACATGGCTCAGGGTATTGGCTCGCCGTCTAAAGCCCTGTTGGGCTGATTTTGCAGCCTGTTCAGGGGATGGGCTTTGGGGCTCACTTGAAAGATTGCCTACTGATCCATTTGCCTTCAGAGGACTTTCTGGGGGAGCAAGATCTTCTCGTTCACATAGTGACGTTTCCTTTCAACGTAAAAAATAAAAATGCACATAAAAACACACAAGATAGAACAAGTCATAAACTTGTTCTTCTCAGTACTGTATGTGTCTTCCAGCTGCACTTTGTAAGAACTACCAACTTATTTATAACTTCATTAAGATTTTATTTATTACTATGTTCCAATTGTACATGCTAAGAAAAATATTGCAGTTGTCTAGAACTACCTTTCAGTTGCTATACTGCAGTCAAGAGGCACACACTTTCCCCAGTTATTTGTGCATGCAAGATCAGGAAGTATTTATCCAGAATCCATTCTTTTTTCAAACTTAATTCTTATTAAGACTTTTTAATTACTTAACTGATACATGAACAAAATACTGTTGTTGTAGAAAGTACAAGCAAAACAGTACACCTGATCTGAGATAATGAGAAACACAGCTGCAGCCTTGGGGTCAAGATAATGAAGCTTATGCCACTGGATGGTTTATTAAAAGCATGAAAATAGGCAATCAGTTGCTTGTCCTTAATGAATAAGAATCCTACCCAGGTGACTAAGAAAGAAAGTTTTTGTAAGTGGAAAATATACAGCTCATATTTTCTTTCTGATTTACTGATCTGCTGGAAATTACTTAAAAAGATATGAATGGACTAGTATTGAAAATTGGCTAACAATGCCCTTAGGCTTATTGGCAAGCTTATGATAGATTAAATAACACGATCTTTGCTTGACAAGTAAAATTTAACATTATCTTTAATGATGTAAACCTGGGGCCCCTTTGGCCATTCTACATTTCAGGAAAGAATATTAGAAGATTGTATGCTATTACTTATTGTGCTTATCTTCTGGTGGACAAGAGACTTACCTTACTTGTAGTACTGAGTGTGCTAGACAAGGAGCTTTCCAAGTCAATGCTTCCAGAACTTTCCAGTAGACCTTTGCTTTTATTTCCCTAACAAGAAAAGCATCATGTTATACATGTTATATTATGCAGAGGTACAGATATAGAAAGAAATCTGAAAATTCACACAGTTGCATGCCCTACAAGAATGCTGAAGAAGCAATCCCAAAGATTCTCACGGATTCTCACTGTGCTGAGATCATTATTAAATTTAATTTCCTGAGTGAACTAAGAATAGCCTTACTTCACATGAGAAACAACAATCTCCTTCAGAAAGGTCACTCATACTGACATTTGTAAGAAACTGGAAACTAGCAAAACATGACTGCTAAATATTTTGATAAGTGCTTGTTTTGTGTGGCCAATATTGTTGGTTCCTTTCTAATTTAACAAAGAGTCAATTAATATTTGCAATATCCTCAAATCAGTTATCATTATAAAGAGCACCCCTTTTGAGCCACAAAAATTGTACTTCTGATTAAAGCAAAACCAGGGAATAAAAGAACTGAAAGCTGTGCTAAAGCTATGTTGCAGCACAACTTTTCCAAGAAAGGCCTCCTATTTTTATGCAGCCCTGTCTGAAGACTCTGACAGTATAACGATGTTATGATTATTATAGAGAACTGTTTTATACACTGCTGAACATCTTGCAAATTTCAAGAAATAAGAATAATCTATTCTGGAGTGTCAGCATCACAAGTTAATGCATCTACTGAAGCAACTTTTTGAAGAACTACAGAACAGAACATTTGATAAGCATTTATTTAAAACATTTTAGCCAACAATTAATATTCCCAAACTTCTTCCTTGGTTGGTAATAAAATACAATGATATGTATCTGCCGGTGCCACAGTGTGGAAACCATGAATTAAGACACCTGAAATTTGCCATGCTTAATGAGGGAGGTTTTTTAATTACTTAATTTGGATCAATATAAATGGGTCTTTGTGTTGGAAACGTGCAGTGTTCTTCAGTTACTTCCCACAGTGAACACACTTAGAATCTGCAGACAGGAGTGGCTCCTGGGATGGAGTTGTACAGCTGCTTCTCCCTCTTGCTTTGGGTAGCATTCAACTCAGGAGAACAGAGTGAGGTGATCCCTCCTTCAGGGGTACACCATGGCATAAGACAGTGTCAGTGGGCACAGCTTTACCTAAATGGAGCAGACGTAATATGTCCAACTCTGATAAGAGCATAACTTTGTTTGAAGGCCTCACTGTATCAAAATCAGGGCTCTTTCAGCCTGTGCAGAACCAGGTCCATTCACTAGTATCAAATAAGTAACGAGGAAACTTGGCCAAAAATAAAAAAATCAGATCAAAAAGCCAACACAGATTAAATCAAAAGTTTAGGTAAAGACATATATTTCAGTTGGTGCCTAACAGAGAAAAATATAAGCACCACACAAATGTTACTGGGGAGAGGATACCAAACTGTAGGAACCATCTGTACCAACAAATGTAGGAACATCTCTGGTAACCACTCACTCATTTCAGAAGGTGGAGGCACCAGGACCACAGCTTTGATATGCAAATAGGTTCTGCACTTTTTTTCTACACGTAGTTTAATTTTTCTTCTTTTCAGTATATAATATTTAGCTATCAGATGTCTACGGTAATACTATCATAACTATTCATCTAACACCAAATGTTGCAGCTAAAACATATAAAAAATGGGTTGTACTTACAGATGAGGACAATAGATGTATATTAACATTTGTACAGAGAAGGATAATTAACATAATAATATATAGTACTTAAAATCAGGTTTGTAATTCTAATTCCTGTTTTTTGTCTACTTATTTCAACTGAAAGGAAATTAGGCAAGACAGACAAGATAAGAAAACTGAAGACTCTTACTCGGGATAATATACTTTCTAACGATTCTGTTAGCGACCTTTTAGCCTTGCTCTTCAACATATCTAGTCTGAACCGGGATGTATTGCTTGGCATTTCATTTCCCACTGTCTCTATTGAAGACTGTGCATTCTAGAAAGTTACAATAACAAAATGAGTTGTTTTCATTTTTTAAAAGAGAACAAAGATAAACAACAAAATTCTATAGAAAAGATGTGTTAGTATACAATCCTGGACACTGGACACTCTGAAGTTAGAATTAATCATTCTAAAATAGTTCTAAATAGCTAAATATTTGTTACATGCATTTGATTTTTCTTTCAAAAATAATTTCCTCCGATCAGCTTCATTCTCCAGGATACATCTCAGGAAAAACACAATTTTCTGGAGTTGAAAACACAAGCACATACGTGTGCATGCACACACATTTAGAAGTGTGGTGCACTAGCAACAGTTGCTTCAAAGTGCCACTTGGGCATTGCTAAAGGGGATGTGGCACTGATAGAGTCAACAGTGAAGTCAGAACGAGCATCGGGGTTGTTTGCTGCTCTTGACAAATGGCTTGCTAGTGCATCCTCACAACCCACCATTTTATTGCTTTCTTGGGTTCTGATGCATAGCAACCCATAAGGGATTGAACAAACCCTAGAGCGTGCCATGGGTAGTCATGATGGTTTGTTCATGAAAGGTAAGAGGAGCCCAGGCTGGATTTTCATGTCATGGGAACCCAACTTATGTCCCCTTCCCCATTCTCTCAGCCTCCACTTTTTCACTTCAGGCCTCTACAACTGCAAGCCTTGATGAGCATAATGTTTCCCTTGGAATATAGCATATATTGCAAATGAAAACTTTTAGAATAAAAGGGGCATCTGGAGAGAGCAAAAATGTTGCCACAGGCCAACACAAACACCTTATTTGTTCTTGTCTACTGCCCTTTCTGGTAGTTCCTTCAGTTCAACTATACTTTAAAAAGAGCATCTTCTTGTTGACTATATGATCTAAGCCAATCAGGAGCACAAAGCCATTGTAAAGATTTAGCTGTGAGTCGACTTCATAAAGCTTTTTCAAACTATTTGTCATAAACACATTTGCTAGTTGAAAGCTAATCTGTACATGCTATTTTTCTATGTGCAGGAAGTTATGTGGAGCAGCATACAAGTCCGATCCTCCCAGGAAGACCATTCCACAGGTTTATGTATAAAAACTTTCTCAGGTGCTGTTACTTTTAGAAAAGGTAATGTCACATTATGCAATAATACATATTTTCTATCAATAAGAAATGAAAAATAATATTCAAAATTGCACACCTGCTTGGCTTCTGCAAGGTGAATGTGATCCTTCTGTTTGTCCTCATATATATGTCTCAGAGCAGAGATTATCAATTCATTCTCTTTCTGTTCATTTCTTGGCCTTATTTTCTATAAAACAGGAAAAACAAAAAGGAGAAAGAGAAGGAGAAGGAGAAGAAAACGAAAAAAGGATTGGTATTGTAGCTATCTAAATTGTGCTATCTTACTTAACCTTTGTCAGCACATTGCCACTAGATGGCAACAGAACCTAAAATATACAATTGGCTAAAAAAAAAAGGAAACAAGAAAACTGTACAAGTCCATAGACTTTATTTACAAACTAATTTTGTAAATAAGTTAATGTAAGGTGAAGAGCGGAAAGGGTATATAAGCAGGATCAAACAAAATTGAATAAACTGCCCTTGAACAAGCATTTAAAAATGCAGCTGTTGGGAATTTATCAAAAGAGAGGATGGCCAGGAATCAGAGCAGCTTAGTAGGGCCATGCAAGGGTCCTGCGATGTAGCATGGTATGCGCATGTGTAGGAGTGCAGGGAACGGTGCTGGTTATGCAAGAAAAGCAATTTGACAGCCCTCTTGGGCTAAGTGAACTAGTTTCACTGCCCTCTTTATACTGGCAAATATATTGACTGTGCCTATATTGAATCATTTACTGCGAAGAGCCTGTCATACTAAGACACTAGTTTTCAAGGTAATTCTACCTCCCAGTGTCTACATAAGAAATCTACCTAATGAATGAATAATCAATCAGATAAGGCTAAGTTTTTCCAGCATTGTGCATTAGTTTTGTTTTATCATTCCTTTAGTTCATGTAGTGAAATGCTTTAATAAGTATTTCCTGTTCATATCCCTCAGTCCAACTAATTTTTGTAAACAGGAATGAACAATTCAGTAATAAATGTTAAAAGCCAAACACATTAACACATTTCTAGGTTGTAAAATGATAATACAAACATGGGGTCATTCTATGACAGGGCTCCTCAACATGGTACCCAATGGCACATCCAATGGCATCTGCCATTCCTCCCGTCCTTTTTAGTATATGGATCTGTTTGAAATGCATACAGTCTTTATACAATGTTATTTAAGTGTAAGTGGACCAATTATCCAAATGGGGATCCCTTTGGAGTTGGTATCTACATGTTTCCTGTTTGCATTTCAGTTGTGTTGTAAGGTCCTCAAACCCAGTGCATTAAAGAAGGCACTTCTAATTTTGTAATATCAGTCTTTTACCTGTAAAATGGCTTATGGAATATATCCACTTCCATCTGTTGACTTCCATGAAACAGGTATATAATTTAAGAGAGTGTGTCTATCAGTGGATATTAAAGACTGTTCCAGTACAAAATCTTTGTAATAACCCCAACCCCAAAAAAGCAACCACCAGACATAGCCAAAATATATGTTTAAAAGAAGCATAAGGTATATTGCACCACCCCTGAATAAGACAATCTATAATTAATGAGATATTGCGGTATCTAATAGACATGAAACAAATATATCTTCTGAGTAAGACAATGGTCTAGGATACATAGATAAAACAGGCAGATGCCAAAACAGCAGTCTACTGATTAGACACTTTATTCTGGCTCCCACTGCCATTTCTCAAATTCCCCAGTGTGCCCACAGATCCAAAAAGGTTGCAGACTCCCACTATATGAAAATTTACCATTGCCAGATGTTTATAAATTGAAATTTTTAATAACAGCAGTTAACATTAGCTGCTGCAAAGTAGTAGACAGAGGCATAAAGAAATAATTGAAGTTCTTCCACCCACCTTTCTACCTCCTACACAAAATGACACAGACTGGCAAGAGGGTTACCTGAACTTCCTCAAAGATTGCAGCCTGCTCCTGGTTATTCAGTGTTGTTAAATGTTTTTGGAGTTCTAGTTTAGTTTTAGAAGGATGCATCCCTATCAAGTAACAAACAAATATTGAATAAACAAAAAAATTTTTGGTTGCAATGCTTGATCACATACAGTATCCATACAGTAATATTCATGTGCTCACTTAGCTTCGGTTAACACAATTTCCCACACTGTCCTTTGAGCTGCAAGGGAGCAATCCCCCTGGAACCTTGGAAGCATCTTATATGCATCTAACACTTTTAAGAAACAAAAGTAGTTTTCCAGCATATCTCAGAAGTTTTCTGGTATGCAAAAACACCCTTCTGGCCTAACTTTCATCCTATTTTTTCCAATCCAGGCCAAGCACATGCACACCAAGAATGACAGTTGTGAAACATTTCTTCTTCATTGTCTTCTTGTATTTTGGACCTTATAAAAACTGGTATTGGTCTGGTAATGGCTTCTCCCTAAACTTCTCAACTACCACTCAAGCAGAAGAATTGACAAAGCATTTCATTCCAGATCATCTACTTAGCAATAAAATATAAAAAAAATTAAAGCCAACATATACCATATTGTATAGTTCCTACCTTCTATTTTTTCACAGAGCCTATGAAGGCTCTGCATAGGACATCCTTCACAGAGCTGTAATTGTGCTTTGGAGGTTTGTTGGACAGCAGCTACTGTAAAAGCCTGTTTTAAAGTCATCATGATCTCATCAACCTAGCGAAGGAAAAACAAGTCTGAAGGTCTAATCTTTGAGAAAGATAAAGCCTAAACTAGAAACAGATAGTTTCTATTAGCTTAAAGTGACTGCCATCAAGCTAAGAGTCAATAAAAATATAACTGCTTTATGCCCCTTCCTACACTAAGTCAGCTTATAAACCAGTAAAATACCACAATGTGCTCCAGATTTAAACTGCCTTGAAATTCCCTTAAACCAGCATAAAAATAAGACCAGAACCATAAACAACTGAAAAAGGAAATATACAACAAAGGCAATATAAAATAAACAACTTATTTTATATACTGAATTATACTTGATAACTGCAGCATTCTGTTCTGAAAGGTGCATTAGATTAGATAATGATTTAATACAGGTTGAAAGGGTTTGCATCGTTTCATTGTTATGCATATTCATGTTAACTGTTATACATATTTAATCCATTTTGTGGAGCTGAAATCTGCCCTACTGGGTGAAAACTGGGTAATCCAGCAGTCTCATCTGTTTGGGGACTGATGTTCTTTTTAATACTAGCTGTGAATTTGTCTATTTGTGTTTAATTGTTTTATTATGGTTATTTGGGATATGCTTTCATTGTGCTAGATTTTGTTGAGCTATTTTGAGACTTGGATGAGAAAGTGGATATAAATTCTGATTAATAACAATAAGAGTAATCTGCTTACCACAACACCGCTAAACTTCCGAAAGTAGGTTAAACAAATCACAGTCTGGGAATGTGATGAAGCAAACAGGCAATCCTTTTAATGTTTAACATTATTCCAGTAATATGCATTTGCCAGTCCAAACTGGTCATATACATTGGTTTAATTGTCATGAAATATAAATAGCAGAAGTCAGGTTTTAAAATTAGGAACAATTTTTATTTATGAAAGAATCAGAATATTGGACCACAACTTACTAGCTTCTCTTATTATGGACCAGATTCCATCCCTCAAGTTGCCTTACTGTAACTATATTATGTGCATGTGGGTGGGGCAGTAAAATGCTATATAGTCATCTGTAAGCTATCTCTCTAAAAAGATGAAGTAGCAGCAGCTCTTACCAGGGCTTCATCTGTGCACTGAAAGACGTAACAGACAAAATGGAAGCCTCTGCTTTCTGAAGTTTCTCTGCAGATAAATCCAAAGTGATCCACATGTCTAATTCCCTGAAACAACAAATAAACACACATACAAATCAGATTTTCACAAGACTGGCTATCAAATTACTATTAGTCAGTTAATGAAAACAAAGCAAAAATAAGGTATTAATTGCAACAACAAGCAAAATGAATCCTTTGCAAAAGAAAACATAATATGTACATTCATAGTCTAAGATGAAGGGTTTAATGGACAAATGCTTTCCACTCTATTTTCCATTTTGAACAGATAGACAGTAAGTTTTGTAGAAATTAAATACTGGAAAGACAGATTTTTGGAAGGGTTCACAACCTTGAGTACTTTTGCTACTTCTCTCTCTCCTTGGGTTAAACTAGCCATTACATTAATTTCATGAAAGCAATTATCACATGCAGCACCCTTCTGTCTGTGGAAGGGTGAATGGGAAAAGGTAATTTAATTCTTCCTGTCCTTGCCATAGCGCCAACCAAAATAACCTCTATAAATAAATGCAAAGAGCACAGATGATGCAATAGTTGGAAAAGGGACATTCTTGTCAGGACAGAAAGAATTACATTCCCCCTTTCCATCTCCCACAGTCACAAAACTTTCATGTGGCTATTATTTACATTTTTCACAGTGTGCATATTAAAAGGGTAATTCTTCAAATCTGCAACTACAGTGGAAGGGGGAAATTTGAGGTTTGGAGCTTCTCTTCTGTATCAACATTCAAAGATTCTCTGCTATGAATTAAATAAATTAAGGGGAGAGAGTTATCTGATGAATTATCAGCACAACATTTTTCCTTTCTATGTTGACAACTTTTTTTACCCCACTCTTGCCTTCAAGAGTACAAAAGCAGAGCACACCCTTTCTTATTTCATTTTCCACAACAGCTATATTAAACAAGTTGGTCCAGAGAATAACATTTTTGTTCATAACTCTAGGGCAGCATTTTTATTCATAATGTCTACCAGAGTATTTTTCTCTCTATAAACTTTAAGAAGACATACAACTAACTTTTACAAACTTTACATTGTAATCAATACAAAAGTCAAGAGCATCAATACTGGACTAATTATAGCAGTCATCATCTCCAGAGGAAAAACATATTCATTCTCTGAAAAGTATCTTCATGTTCTATTTTCCTGTATCAAAAGAAAATTGCTGGGTATACTGTATCTATAGCAGTGCTCATGGCTGAAATCAATTAGCACATGCTTCACACGCATTCTAGACAACAAAATAGTGTTAAATGTACAAGTCTGTTCCCTCTCTCCTCTCCCAGGACACCTGTAAGGAGGAGATCACAAGTTTCCATTTCCATCTTTAACTAACCTCAGTTTGTCATTTCTTATGATCAAGAAGCTGGCTAGTTTCAGGAAATAGACCTAACACATAAACCACAGTTTGAAGTTGTGCAAACCACAGTTAAAACTAAATGCCATGTCCTAGTTTTAACAAAGGGACAAACTATTGTTAGCTGAAAATAGAAACAGGTTTTCCTGATCTCTTTTTCACTCCATAAAATGAAAAAAGGACAGGGGAGAGATGAATGACTTTATGCACATAACAATAAAACATCTTAATTATGTTTATGTAGCTGTTCAATGAAAATACAAGCTAAAGATTAAAAAATAGAAAACGTCTCTGTTCATTCAAATTGAGCACATTAACTATGAATATGAAGGGCAGCATTGTTTTCACACTCTACTTATGCTACCATTTGTCACAAGGGACATCCAACATAAATAGCTCTCCAGGGAAAATTAAGTTGTGTAATTACAGCATGCTCACACTCTCCTCTCAAAATATGCAAAGCAGGCTTAACAAAAGAGGTTGCTGTAGAATAGCCTTCCTGTATCTACTACTCCCCAGCTGTTTTGGACTACAACTCCAATCAAGCCTGTCTTTAACTATTCTGAATAGGGCTGATGGGAGTTCAACTGCAAAACATCTGGAATGTACCAGATTGGAGAAGGCTGCTATAGAGAATGTTTTTTACAAGTGGAGAGGAAAGAGAATGTTTATAGGACCACACATTTTTTAAAAGATGGGCCTCAGTATGGCTTGACTGTTAACATATTCAAGAGATAAATAGAAATGGAATGGCAGAGCAACATCAGGCTTTACTGTGCTACATACCAGATGAATTTCAAGCAACTACCCTCCAATTTTCTTTTATGTTATATATAAAGCTTCTTTTCGCCAGCAACTAAGTCACAGTAATTCTCAAGGTATTAAAAAGTCAGCCAATTGTTTAAAAGCATTAAAAGGACACATGACATCCCCCCCCCCCACACAGATAAAGTTAAGTCCTCATGGTAACACTCAGTGAAGTAGATGAAATACTTAAAAATGCTTAAGCAACTGAGTAGAAAAATACAAGACACATATCCTGCTGGGACCTCCCCCTTTATCAAGAGCTGGAATGAATTCCTGGCTGAACTGTGGTAACTTTCTTCCTGCAATTCTTGAAGGATGCCATCAACAGAAAGCCACTGAATGATCAGTTCAGATTTGAAGATGGGATAAAATTAGTAAATGGGATTCCTGTGGGTCTAACTGAAAGATGTGTGGTATTCCTGGAAGCCTGGCAACTAATGCATAGCTGCAGTTCCAAGACGAGCAGGAACCCAGAAATGCACATCATGATCCCACAGAAAATTAAGTCTCTAACTTGGATGTAATGTGAATGAGCCAATAAAAAAGCAATGAAAGGCAGAAGGCATATATTGCTCCTACACAGTCTTCGAACATGGAGTCAACTATAAAAAGTGCAGCACAAATGTTGATGAATGAATAATATTCATGAAAAGTATCCCAGACACTTTCATTTTAATATCAAGTAATGGTTTGCTTCCTAAGGTTTAATACTGACTATACTCTTCATTTGGAGTCCCTGTTTTTACAATGCACACAAACGCACATTTGAAAGGAATATATGCCTTTTTTGGGTAGGGAACTGCTTTAATATTCATGGCTTCCCAAAGAAGGAAGCAAAACAGAATGATTTTTCAATACTGCAGCCTTAAGCAAAGAGTCCCTGTCAATAGTCACCAGAGAAACAGATTCTGTGTCTGGCCTCCGAGGAAGGATGTAGAATGGGGTAGCATATGCCCTGGTTTCTCCTGAGGAAGTGAATAGAAGCAACCTTACTGTTTTCTTTCATTGGTTTGCCACTAGTCAAGCAATTAAATTGACTGGGAGAAGGAGTCAAGTCATTAAAATTGTTTCTCTTAGTCTTAGAAAGAAAGAATTTGACCTTAAGGGCAAGTTGCTAAGTACTAGCTCAGAACTATTTTTGCTGACAAAGGAAGTAGTCTCAAGGAAGCTACCTCCAAGTCTAAAATCTGACAAATTTCCCTTAGAAAAATTCTGGGATTTCTGTAAACTCCTTTCAAGGGACCAATGTTCCTCATCAACGATACACTGAAGACAATCAGATCACTCCCATAATGTACTGGAATTCTTCTTGATTTGGTTGCCTGCCTTCATGCTTTGGACGATAAAGAAAAAAAATCTAGCTTGCTGAAACACATACTCATGGAATTTAATGCAAAATAGGCTTTCCGCAAAAGTATTAGTTGCACAGTGATCTTGCCACATATTGGGCACATTTACATGTCACACCAAGCCACCTTGCAGTAAGCCATGGTGGCCTGTTCACTGTATGAACATCCCACACTGCACCTTAGAGGTGCCTGGGCTCACCATAGGTTGTTTACCTCTCTTTCCATTCCACTCCTCCCACAGGACAACCATCAGGAGAAAGCACAGAAAAACCCTTAACTGAAGCCTATTGGGTCATATCAAGGGCAAGTACCTCTGCACTTTGACTAACAGAAACAAAACCATTTTATTCTAATACTAGAAATGATTAAAAGTGTAATGTCTGATGGTTCTGCTATTGGAAAAAACAGAATTAGAGAACAGTTTTGGTTAATGGGCAACATTTATTGATGCATACTACCCATTATTTGTGAACATTAAAAATCAACATTATAATAAGACAACCGTGAAACTAAATTGCCCACACAAGTGCTGGATTGTGGCACATCTCTGCAAATTTATTTATTTAGTTATTTAGAATATCCCTTTTTATTTATATTTATATGCAAATATCAGTCAATCAAGAAGGAACACTGTTTTCACCCTTTTAGATTTTACAAGAAGCATACAGATTGATTGATTGATTAAATAAAGGAAGGAATGAAGGGAAGGAAGGAAGAATAACATATGTACCTGAGAGCAAAAAGAGATTTCTTTAAAGCTTTTCTCAATAACTACTTTTTTGGTGTCAGGACTGATGATGTAAACTTCAGACTGGCCAATCTGAAAAGAAGAAATCAAATATTACTCAGCTGCACTTATAGTTTACAGACAAAAATATGATTGCACACTGAATTTGAGATTATATATATAATACATTTTGCATGAGAAATGAGCCACATCACAAAGTATAACCAGTATTTTGCTATTGATTCTAATGCTCTGAGAAGAAACTGAACTGGATATTTAATCTATAGAAAAGAATATTGTTAAAGTATGACTACATTAACTAAAAAATGTTATGATGCTTAGCAAAGTTACCCCAACTTTACATACAAGTAGGGTATAAAACTGCTTTACATTGCTCAGACAATTATTAATCTTGCTCAATACAGCGTACTCTGAGTAAAAGCATCTTTCCAGATAAATCATGTGTTTATATGACCCTTTACATTGGAAACACCAGTTTCTGTAAAGATGACTCTATTGCTGAAATATGATCTCTCTCCCCGAAGATGCAGTGTACAAATGGGACGGCCTGAACAATCACTCTTCAGTCACTCCCAACAGAAGAGGAAGCTCTGAATGCTTGCTACCCTGTGACTGGCCACTATAATGTAGCCCATGAGTCGCCAACCTGTGCTCCTCACCCCCTCAGTTATTGCTGGATTGCATTTCCCTCACAAGCTACTATTCTGACTAGGGCTGATGAGTGTTGCTGTCCAAAAACATCTGGAGGGTGACAAATTGCCTACCTTGGTCTGGCATTATTAGAAGGCAGTACGACCGAGAGAATATTCATACATTCTAAGTTTTGTATATAAGTTGCTCTTGTTTACCTAAGAAGCTTGGAGGCAGCAAAGGCGCACTTGTTTGTACATACTCAACTCATGCAGTCATTTTAGAGCCAGTATTGGCTGTGGCTTGAGTCAGCAGGCCTAGGCTACCATTCTGAAATCATTTACTTCAGGACAGCTCAAACAAAGCCAATTCACTGTGGAAGCATGGGGCAGGTGCCATGACATGACATGACAACCCACTGTGTGAAAAAGTTATGATAGTTTGCAGAACAACTTGCAATGGCCCCAACAGGCAACTGGGCTTATCCCCTGGTCTTTCAATAGGTGACCCAGGGTCCTGTATGTCAGAATCCATCTTATCTCCCTAGTCCTGCTTGGTTCACCACCCCATTTTCATTCTAGTTTCTTACATAGTCCTTTGCTGCTCCGTCAATGCCTTAGTGGCACTTTGGATTGCCCAGTACTACCTCATTACCCTAAAAAAACAGGAATGCAGAAACTGAAATTGTAATTTTCTTTTTGGTCCTTCACAGTTGTGCACTTTTGTCTAGTCAATGTCAGGGTAAATGTCCGCTCTCAAAATTCCGTAAGCAACATCCATGGGCCTTAACCAAGCAAGGCTGCTCAAAGATCACTTGCATACATTTGACAGCTGTCAACTGGCTGTCAATAAAAAGGCAAATTGGAGAAGAGATTTTGATTTCCGAAAGGGGTGGTAAATATATCTTAGCTGTGTGATCCTCCAGTTTCTTAGTACTGCTACAATTGTTCTCCGTGCCCTTCTCTTTTCCACACTTCCCTGAACCTCTAGATATTTCAGAAAGGGAAGAGACACGTATTTTTTACCCCCATCTGGTAAATTTGAGATTTTTGGGGTGGGGACAGGGATATATATGCAGATTTTCTGGCTCCACTATGAAATCGAGATACTCAAAGTACATATACTATTTAAAATGCCTGGATTAACAGAAATGTTTTTACCTGGTGCCAAAATAGTATCTAGAAATATGTCACTCAAATCTCTCTAGGAAAGCTATTCCAAAATTGGGATGTTGCAACTGAAAAGGCCCTCAAAAATGCATGATTGAGTACAGAGTACATACATTCCAGAGGCTGTACAGGAGTACCATGATAAATTATAAGCTTTTCATGTTTTTGTGAAAATGTAAACAAAGAAGGCTAAAATGAGAGGTGCCAAGACTCAGGTCTGTATGAGAGCTTTGCTATTTGCGCTAATGCTTAATTTTATGTGGGTAGAGGCTGCAGTTGCTCATGAAGCAGGGGAAGTACATTTCAGAAGTAAATTTCTTTATTTCTTCATATCCATTTCCTTTAAGAAGAAAAAGGAAACATGCCAGTGATGGGGTGGTGTTTATTTTAAAATGCATGTATTTTAAGGATCTATAGAATCAATAAAAATTGTTCATATAAGATTTGTCAGCTGCAATCCTAAGCATTCATATTAAAAATCAATTTCATTTTAATCAAGTCAGATTGCCAAATAAATATGCACAAGATCTTTTTTCCCCAAGAGTGGTGAACAGCAGCTGGGAACAGAGAGAAATGATTGGTGAAAATGCAGCATGAGAAAGGTTTTTAACTTAATATTCCACACCACTCCTTCCCTGATCTAGTCAAGTCCCCCTGAAGCTGTTTTCAGATTTAAAAAATAAAAATAAGATGGGAGGTCTCACCATATAGCTCCTGTGTAATGTGCAGTGTGGTCCTGTGTGGATCACAGTGTAAACAAAGTATCAGCATGGTGCCGCAAAACAAATAATGAGTGGCAATGAGGGGAGGATTTGACAAGCAACTGCACACAAACAGTTTGCCACATGAAGAAGCCTTTCCAGCCACCTCCAAGTCATGGCAGGTATTTGTATACTGTGGCCTTTGAAATAAAATAAGACTTAAAAAGAGCTGGGTGTAGAATTCACATGTCAATTTGAACACGAGACCATGTGTATTAACTTCGGCATGAAAATATTCACATTTTTCCTAGTTAAACTATTTTAAAAGGCTAGTAAGACAAAGATGGTATTCATTCTATCTTCATGTTCCCAGATCTATTTACAAGAACAACCAAGGAATGCCAGTGCACAGCTCTGATCTCTACTAGTTCTCCAGGTGGTTTAGTCAAACTCCCACTTGATGAGCATACATATGAATGAATCTTTGGGGGTGGGAACAGCTCCTTTACTCCCCCTTTCATGGAAGAAGCAAACAAATGAGAAGTTCTTCAATTAATTATACTTTCCCAGTTTGCCTGCCTGGAAAACAATGGCTTCAGAATAAGCCAAGATATTAAGCTAATTTAAAGCTATTATCTGGTTTGCATGTAACAACTACCCCTGGGGTATCATGTTTAACACATGGGTGGTTGGGATTACACAGGAGGAAGCAAGTGTGGTGCTTCTAACCACATGTCTGGGAGACGTCTAGAATGTAGGTGGAGGAAATCACAGGATGAATCTGACCGAACACACTTAAGAGCCCATTATTGGACCTATGCTGTGGCGGTGAGGGCAGCGAAAAAGAAATTCTTCTCTGTTTCCATTGCCTCCTCACAATGCCGTCCGACGGAGCTGTTTCGGGTGGTACAAGGGCTGGTTCGTCCTGGCCCTAAGAAAGATCCAGTTCCACCCTCGAAGGCCCGCTGTGACGACTTTGCCAAGCATTTCAGGGAGAAAATCGCTCAGATTCGTCACGAGCTGGACTCCACTAGTGATTCAGAGGCTTCTGGGGAGATACCAATGTCGCCGTCTGGTCCAAAATTGATGGATGAATTTCAGTTACTGCGGCCTGATGATGTGGACAAGGTGCTTGGATGAGTACATCCCACCACCTGCCTATTGGACCCTTGCCCATCTTGGCTAATTAACAACGCCAAGCACGGGATAGGGATCTGGATCCTGGAAGTGGTTAACGCCTCTCTGAGGGAGGGCCGGGTACCTGCCCCTTTAAAGGAGGCGGTAGTCCGACCAGTCCTGAAGAAGGCGTCACTGGATCCATAGATGGCCACTAATTATAGACCAGTGGCCAACATCCCGTTTCTGGGCAAGGTATTGGATTGGGTAGTGGCGGGACAACTCCAAGCACTCTTGGAGGAAACTGATTATCTGGACCCATTTCAGTCCGGCTTCAGACCCGGGTACGGTACTGAATCTGCCTTGGTCGCCCTGTACGATGACCTGTGCAGGTAAAAAGACAGGGGGAGCGCGTTCCTGTTGATTCTCCTGGACCTCTCAGCGGCTTTCGATACCATCGACCATGGTATCCTTCTCGATAGGCTAGCGGGATTGGGGGTCGGAGGCACTGCTTGGCAGTGGTTCCGCTCCTATCTCAATGGCCGATTCCAGAAGGTGATGCTGGGGGACTATGGCTCTGTACCATGGCAGCTATGCCATGGAGTTCTGCAGGGTTCCATTTTGTCCCCCTTGCTATTTAACATCTACATGAAACCACTGGGGGAGATCATCAGGAGGTGTGGGCTGCGGAATCATCAGTACACTGATGATACCCAGCTCTACCTCTCGTTTTCTACCAATCCAGGTGAGGCAGTGGCTGTACTGAACCAGTGCCTGGTTGAGGTAATGCGCTGGATGAGGGCCAATAACTGAAGCTCAATCCAGACAAGATGGAGGTCCTGTTGGTTGGCGGATCGGGCTTCAGGGAAGGGGACCTGAACCTAGTCCTGAATGGGGTTGCACTCCCTCTTAGGGACAAGGTCCGCAGCTTGGGAGTGCTCCTTGACCCAGAGCTTTCACTGGAAGCTCAGGTGACAGCAGTGGCGAGAAGTGCTTTCTTTCAGCTTCGGCTGATCCATCAGCTGTGTCCCTACCTGGAGAATGACTGCCTGGCGATGGTGACACACGCATTGGTGACTTCCTGACTTGACTTCTGTAACGCGCTCTATGTGGGGCTTGAAGACGGTCTGGATACTTCAATTGGTTCAAAATAGAACTGCCAGGCTGCTGATGGGGAGTGGGCGTTATGTTCACATGACTCCAGTTCTCCGTCAGCTCCACTGGCTCCCCACTGAAGTCTGGGCCCAATTCAAGGTGTTGGTTATGACTGATAAAGCCCTTAATGGCTTGGGTCCTGGTTACCTGAAGAAGTGCTTACGTCCATATATGCCCGCCTGCCCCTTGAGATCAGTGGAAGAGGCCCTTCTCCAGGAACCCTCCGTGAAGGATGTTAGGAGGGTAAGTACTTGGAGGAGGGCTTTCTCTGCGGTGGCACCCAATCTATGGAATGCGCTCCCCAGAGAGGACCGCCTGGCGCGTCGTCGTTTTTTGGCGCCAGGCAAAGACCTTTTTATTCAAACGCTATTTTTTTCGGGCCAGGTTGACTCATATTATATTGTTTTATTCAGTCCTTATTTATTTATTATTGTGAGCCACCCTGAGGCTTCGGCGAATGGGGCGGCATAGAAGCCTTCTAAATGAATGAATGAATGAATGAATGAATGAATGAATAAATAAATAAATGTCACCTCCACTTTGTTACCTTTTGGAAAACAACCCAGAAATGCCCCCTTCCTTTATTGTGTTCCATGACATCTGAATCTAGAACTCCAGATTGCTGAAACGGAGTTTTAATCAATGGTTCGTTGTTGGGCTCTTTTTCCCCTCAGCAACCCAGAATGCCATGTTCAGATGACAGATTGCACAACCCTATAAACTTCCTCCTTTTGCTGAGGCTGCAAAAAGAATGTGCAGGAGAAGGAAGTCAAGCACCTTGCAAGCCACAGTGGACCTATAATTGTTCAAGGCTCACAACTTCCGTGAACCTATTTTACACTAAACAAAATAGTATAATTACTCTCTATATTCTCAGACACAAATACTGAATTTAATTAACTACAGGAGCTCAACCAGTAGCAATACCAAAAGCTCTGGATATCTGTTTTGGTAAAATTGTTATAATTGTTCAGAGATGCTTGCAGACATAACTGTGTTTTACCGTGAATAACATAATCCTGTTTCCTGCAATATCTGTAGGCTCCACATTTTGCCCATGGATAAACCGACTTTTCAAATTCAGAGAAACCACATCATCATCAAAGGATCTGGCAAAGCTGTTATTCCTCAGGCTCCCGGCTTGCAAATCTTTCTTGAAAGAAAATGAACGCAGTCCAGGCTGAGAATAGGATTTCCTCATTGGCCTTTTTTCCAGTTCTTCGTTAACCAACGGTTGGAAGACAGCTCGGAATTTATCACTTATGGAAAAACCTCCAGAGTTGGCAGTTTCATGTTGTTGGGAAAATGAACCAGAGTCCAAGTTTTTGGTATAACTAACATCGTTAAATTTTTCAATACATTCATCTATGAGTGCTGGAGGTGCATTTTTGTGTGCCACTGTCACTCGACCACAAAACAGCACCTCAAATTTTTTGCTAAATGGATCATCGACATCTGAAAGGTTATTCTGAAATTCTTCTTGACGTGCAATCTTTCCAGCTTGTCTGATGGTGCTTATAATCTCAGGCACCTGTAAGAAAATATATCAGAGCTCATTCCAGAAAAGAAAAGTAACAGCAAGTAATCTAGGAACGTGGATCACTCCTAATTTTGAAATGCCTCTGTAAAAATAATCTCTGGGGTCTAGCTGCACATAGATGTCCATCATTTGATGGTCACCACCATCAAGAGATATGTGTGCCAATTTGCTATCACAGACCTAATTCTACAGAGAGAATTCTCATTCTCACCTTAAACAGAATTATTTTCAATGAAGCTAGATCACATGATTAGCTGCCTCTGTATTTCAGAGCAAGTTCACACACAGATACTGATTTTGCTTCCATTCTACTTCAGTTCCTATTCCCTGTTCAGGGATGCACTTGAGTAAAATTCCAAGTGATATATATGGGCTGTAGTCATAAGGGGAAAACAGCTAGCCCTTAAGCACATACCTAAACTTGGCCACACAAGTTCAATGTATTTAATCCTGACCCAAGTGTGTGTTTGCACAGATGAGTGCATACGATAGTATGAAAGGTGTTTTATACATTGATGAGCTAAGATGAATATTATTTAAGGAGAATGTAAATACAGCTTAGCAAATCCAAATATTTTACCTTTCTGTGTACAAAAGATTACTTTTCTCGTATAGAAGACCGAGGGACAGTCAGTCCAATAATACATATAAACAAAAACCACATGGAAAGGCCGGATAGCATTACTCCCTAGGACAGGCTGCTGTATCCTAGAAAGGGGTCATGATGCCACGGGAAATTTATTCAATTTCCCACATGGTTTACACATTTTTCACATGGCAGAAGATCAAACTGAGAGAAACAACTCCCACACCATAAAGATAAATCAGAAATGGAGCACACTTCTTACTTTTGAATCCTTCTGGATTCAAGCCATGATGGCATTAGCCTAGAATAAAAAGAAAGTATGTTTGCAGATCTGCTTCACTTTGCATAAAAGTTTGACCCAACATTTTAAGGAAAAAAATTGCTCATGGTGAATTAATCCTTTCAGGAATGAAGTGTGATACTTTTACTCTGAGAGCACCATCTTATTATGATGCCCATAAGCCCCTGAACTCAAATGCTTACAGTCATCCTATGCAGAGTGAGAGGAGCAGCAAAAGTGATCTTTGCTTCCAACCAGTGTATTTTATTCTAGCTGGAGTATTTTGCAGGGGGAAAGAAGTAAGGAGACTATAGGACCCTCAAGAGGACTCATATCCTGGCCTTGCCAGCTGCAAAGGGGAGGAGGGAGAGAGCTCTATTCCCAGCTCCAAGGTCAAAGTACAGTCTCCAACCTTGATAAGGTAAGATGAAATACTGCACGTCCTCTCAGACACTGTCCAGGGGCCAAAGGATTGCTCCCTTGAGAACCATCTGTGTACATAAGCAGATCAACATTACTGCAGAGAGAAAAGGGAAGCTCTCTGACTTCTATCTGACTGTATCTGCTTTTTAAAAAAGCAGAAGCACATTTCTTCCTTAATGGTAATAGAAAGGGTTTACATCCTGATTTCACAAAGACCACAGTAAGGTCATTTCAAGGATAACAGACATATCTCAATAGCATTACTCACAAGATTGCAGTAAGAAAACAAGAATGGTCTAAAATGAGATGGGAAGAATTACTTCATTCTTTGAGCATGGTGCATGACTCAGACTTCCAACATACAGTTTGGCTGCACTTTGAACTAACAGGTAGCCAGAAGCGCAAGAACAAAATGCTCTCTTGCACTTTGTAAGGTGTCATATATATGGTTGGCACTACGTAAGTAATAAAGTTACTGCAAAAAATTGTATATCTTTACTCAAATCTTTACTCAAATTTGGTATTATCAGTACATGGTGAAAGTATCTAGCATTTATCTTGTCCAGACAGAGCTTCTGACTGCTACTGACACTTAATATTATTTTATTTAATTTTTGTTTCTTTCACATTTCTACTTTAAACTCCCTCTGCTACTTATTGAATTTCTACCAATCATTAGTAATTTTATTAGAGAACAGAATGTGATGGGTAACTTTCAAATAACAAACAGAAAACAAGAAGAAAGGGGGAAATATATTGGCTTTCCGCCAATGAGCTAAAGAAAACATACTGAGCCAGGAATCCTCAAAATGATTCCCTCCAATGAAGTCTCCCTTCCATGACCCCTTTTTAAAAAAGGAGAAAAACCTTGGAAAATGTCTTCTTTTCTTTCTTTCTAGCCTCTAGTTTTGTTCCTTCTTTCCTCTTTGACTTGCTGTTTCCCTTTCCTTCCAGAGGTGTCTACCCTAGCTATTCCTCTCCCCCAGCCTCTTAAGCTCATTTTCGACTAGGCAGGTCCCCATCGCAGCCACCATAGGACTATGTGGTTCCCACAGCAGCTTCTCAATTTCTCAAATATATGCCCTTAGATCCAAAACATCCTAACATTTGCTTTCATTTGCAAATGCCAGTCCCAATTTATCTGGAAACTATAAGATATGAGAACTCTTGCACAAAGAAAACAGTAAAACCAACCCAGAACTAAAACACACACCTCCAATTGCCCTCAGCTACAGAGCTGATACTGAGAATTCCACTTAGTGAAACATATATCTCTTCCTATTGACTGTTCAGGGAAATAATAACATAACCTTGGCTTAAAATAACTGCAAATTCAGGTAAATCGAAATACACACTCACCCCCTTCGTGTGCACATTTAAGTATTTGGAGGCATAACAACCCATTTAGATCTGCAAATAATGGTTCCAAAATTACTTTTAGCTGTAAAAAGAAAAGGACTAATTCACCAATACTAAATTTGTAGTAAGTGCCTCCCAGGACACTCTAATTATGACCGTTTTTATTTGGCTAGTTCTGTCTGTTGAAATAAAAAGTTTTATATATTGTTTATAAATAGAAAATATTTATAAACAGAAAAAACTCTGTTACTTTCCAGTACAAACAAAGTTTTCAGCGGCAGAGAAACCAAAACACGGCCAGGCAGCCTATTATGAACCACAAACCAGAGTCCTGCAGGTTTGATTCTAGTTCCTTGCTCCAGTAGAGGATGATGACTACCGGCAGTTCAAGCTGAGACACTTAAACATCTCAAGATCTTCCAGGCCTAGGGAATCAAAGCCAATGTCTGCCGCAATCAGTCCATTAACAAAAAGTGAACAGTGCTCTCAGGAGGCAAATACATGAAGTCCTGCACAACTTTCACATGATGCATTGGCACAAGGCTCATGAGTCCAGGGGCAGGAGAAATGTGATTACTCTAAATGTATGTTGTAGAAAGGGAAAGGTCAGGAGACTTTGATTTTACAGCATATGGGGCATTATCAGTGAGGGTGTCAAACACTTTCCTTCATGGATTGCTTCCCTGAAGTTTGTTGTTGCTCAGAACTTGCTGTAATACTAAAAGTGAGTTTGACTAGAACAAAAACATGTAGGAGAGGAAAGTATAAAGAGAGACTTCCACCATTCATCATTAAAAATGGAACTCTTCCTTTGAATGAAGCTTAGCTATGAGATTTACTTTTAAATCTACATACATACTGACTCTACATACTCAGAGTCACTGTATTTTATTTATATTTATATCTTTCCTTCTCTCCTTTCCAGAAACTCAAGGCAGCTTATATAATTTTTCTGCTCCTCTCAGCAAGCTTATGAGGTTGGCTGGGCTGAGACTCTGTGACTGCCCCAAAGTCACCCAGTGAGCAGCATGACTGAATGGGGACTAGAACCCAGGTCACCTGGGTCCCAGTCCCTCACACATAACCATAAGGTACAAATATACAACATCTAATTCTGATCCATCATCAGTTGTGCCTAAACTTAACTGCTACTATTGAACATTTGATATTTCAACATGTTCCATATTACTTCAGATATCTGATATCTAACTCTTCCAGACTTAGTCACATGGATAGTACCATGAATTTTAAAAATAAATCATTGCTATTCTTTCTAAAATGAATTATGATCCTATCCCTCAGTGTATACCTATAATAAGTAGAATAGAAATAGAACAAAATTGTAGTCCGTGTTCTTACCCAAGTGGCACAATTTTACTTGGGTTTTTACTCTCAGTTATGAATAATCCCTTTGCTTTCATGTTTTAAACAGTTCAAAAGTTCAGCCATGCTTCTTAGTTTATCCATGTGTCTGTCCATATACTTTGAGTTGCTAAAGTTCCCAAAATCAAAAGTTGATTAAACATTCCATTATGTGTGTATGTGCATGTATTTTGCTTTTGAGGCAAGAGAGCTCTTTTGTGTTCTAAAACCAGTCTGAATGTACAAAGATTCAGATATCCCAAAATATATTTTATGTGACAATTCAGCAGTCTTGAAGATCCCATGGACCATTTTCTCTAGGGAGCTGCATTTGTTTTTATTAGCAATGGAGTGGGGGGAAGGTACAACTTTACATTTCTACGCTTTAGTACTTGTAGTTAGTGCTCAAATGGTACTCTGTGTACAGTATTTAGGAGATATGATCTGGAAAGAAAGGTTTAATATGAAGAAATTCCTAATCAAAGCACTCATGACCCATCAGAATTCAAACTTGTAGGTCTTGAACTGGTGACCTAGAAAGTGGAGGAGGCCTTAGATAATGATTCAAGTGCGTCAGCACCGCACAGCATTGGCCAGGAATAATAAGCACAGGTACAGCAGCCGAACTATCACAGGGGAAAAAAGGCTCTTTATAATAACAGGCAGAAATGGGTTGATTCTCCTGATGCGTATAAACACTCCTAGGCATGGTTTGCTCACTGGCCTTAGTGACCGAGAACCGTTCTTGTTCAATGCAGACTGTACTCATCTTCCTTCCCCACCGTACTAGCAACTTCACTGAGTTAGAAAACCACTTTGCACAGAATATCTGCATGTACCCCAGTACTAGGACCCCACCACCATGTAGCTGTCATTGCACATGGGAAATGTCCGTGCTGGGAGGACGGATACCCTGGCATTTTAGCTTTCCACATGGAGAAACATACAATAATGCAATACCCACCTTTGTGCCCAATACTT